CACAATGCATTTACTGGCGATCAACAAATAATTATATTTCAGAGATAAAAAAAAATTTTGGTATTATAACATAGTATACCTTCAATAATTCTATTTGTAAAACAAAGCACTGACATAAAAACGTAATTGTTCCCCACTACTATAAGTTATAAGCAGGGCTGTGAATTTAATGCACTTAAAAACTATTAAATATGCATGCATATATGCACTAAAATCTGACAAAATATGCCCTAAAAATTCTTAAAATATACAAAAAAATAAACAACAAAAATTAAACTTTAATTTTAATTTTTTTCATTAGTATATAGTTTTTTTTATTAATTTTAGTTTAAATATTAGTATTTTTACTTCTTGGTATAAGTATATGAGTTATTGATCTTAACTAGTCTTGGTCTTCGTCGTATACAAGATCTATAAAAGAAATATAAATTATATAAGTAATATAATTAAATATAATTAAAATTATACATTTTACCTTTAAAGTACCTAGTTATTGCATTGAACAACCAATGATTTCTTAAGGTTTTCGAACTTGAAAGACCTCCTGTTTGGTGCCAACAAAGTTTTATATAAAGAAAATTAGCGTTCTACGTCTGACGAAGTTATTGGGGCAAACTTGAAATACGTCATATCGCTACTGGTTAAATCTTCTGGTATATCTAAATCTACGTAATTTTTTTCGCCAGTTGATATTTTTGAAATATTACACATAATTTGAAACCCTTTGTTTTTGTTGAGTACTGTTGGTAAAAATAGAATAATTTCGATAAAACTATAACAATTATTGTTTATACTTTATACTATAAGATTGACCGAAAAAATGTAAATATTGCGAAAAAAAAGCATTTAAACAAAAAAATTATTAAAACATGCATTTATATGCCCTAACCCATGAAATATGCAAAAATATGCAAAATAAAATCTGGTATTTGAACTACAAATAAGTCAAAACAATTTTTGCCCGAATCCATTTTTTTATAAAGTGTAGCAAAGAAACATGCAAATGCATTAAAATCACAGCCCTGGTTATAAGATTATTATCTCGACGCACAGACGGCTGACAGTGCAAACTGTCAAGTTATATGATTATATGATTTCAACAGACGACTGTACAACCTTTCGTACAAAAACAATGTAAATAAAATTTGTTTGGCTCCAGGGGCCCACTATTGTTTGATATCCGTTGTGAATCCAATCCGGGCTATGTCCTTAAGCCCCCCTTAATCCAGGCTTGAATATGGATATAAATAATATAACAATAATTTTACTATATTTATTAAATATTATTTTTAACTATATTTTTAGTTATAGTTTTTCCACTTTTTCCCTCCAGAAAAATGGCTGACTGTCGATAGGTCGACGACGTACGATTATTAAATTGTGTTATTGACTGTAATTGTAAATACTTGACAAACAATTCAAACAAACATTATGGGGAACATTCATTTCGTTTAAAAATGTGAGTACTTGAAAGTACTTTAAATTTGTATTTGTATTTAAATACTTTTTAGTAAATACTTTTTAGTAAATACTTTTTACTGAAGTATTTAAATACCTATTTGAAATACTTTTAAAAGTATTTTTAATAAGTATGTGGCTCATTGTAATGTATAACAATAATATTATAAAATTTAAAATAAATTAAATTATGAAGAATTATGAAGTTGATTTAGAATGATAGTGAATAACAGTATCAATGAATTAATACCTCTGAATTAGTCGAGAAAATTATACATTGGTCATTGATAATCGTTACTATTGTATACAGGTATACAGTCAGTTGTGTTTTGACAACATAACCGTATAACCGTTATAATATGATATATGACTATACAGAGTGCTCGGACTTAGGGGCGTTGTGTTATATCTATATTTTTCTAGCATTAAACTAGGTAGTTTTCAGTTACTAATTTCTTTGTAGAATTAGTGATTAATTTATTAGATTTTTTTTGTATATCTTAAAATACACATAACTCGCTTTAAAATTAAAATATAATAAATAGCCCATGAGATGCCCTAGACAATAATCTTACCTTTAGTTTTCATAAGAGGTCAATTCAATCTAATTTTTAAATTAACGATCTAAACGTAACAACCACATAACCAATTAAAGCTCTAGTATATTTTTCAAGAAATCATGTTTCACGTCTTTAGGGCGATCTATACAAGCCCTTTTATATATTTTTTCAAAATCTTCTGTAAGACTTTTTGTCCAACAAATAAAACAAAGAATGAACTTTTTGATCGATACATTAAATCTATATAATGCACGTGGAATGTTGTATGACGCCATGATATAATTATTTTGTTCTGATGAGCTCTTACACAAACTAGTGACATTAACAATAAATGTATTCCTATTAATAATAGCTTTTTAAACTCTCAAATTAAATCATTTGCATGGCACTTATCATAATATATATTCAATTATTCATATCCAATGCTCTTTGCCTTTGCACATTAAAGTCACTGTTAATCACCAATAGACTATAGATATCTCATAGAATCACTGATATGAGGATTTAAACCTTGGTATTTATAATTATTATAATGTGAGTTAAATGCTGTTTGAGACGCTTGCCCGGCACTCACATAATTTCTGAGGGTGTAAAGTGATACCGCTGTAAAAATTACTGCAGTTTGACTTAAATTATCTATCAACTTTATTTTATACTTGTTTAGACTATTTAAAATACTAATAATTGTGACTAGCTTATGACTAGATTGTTGTGTAGTAATAACATCTGTGTAATGACTAATATTATACGGCTGAGATAGACCAGTAGACAGTAATTAATAATTATTATTTATTTATTCTATTGAAATTTAGTATAAACTTACCTATATTTTATAATACACAACATTTACGGTGGAAATCGGTTTTAACGACTCTCAAGGTACAGGAAAATTTGTCGTTGTATGCCATAAGACGTAATATAAGTAAGTTGTTTTAAAAACAAACTAAGATTTTGGTTATATTAATATCTTAAAATGTATTTTAATCAAGGGTTATTTGCTTAATAACCAGAATTTAATTAATTAATTAATATATGCATCAGGTACATAGCGCCTAATAATATTAACGAGAAATTTAATTGTAAATGCTTTCCATGTATTTTGACGTTCACAAAATATGTAACCTATAAACTTCATTAAAAGTCTATATATGATACATCGACTGTATTATCGTATTATGTATTACCCGCTTGATAAAATTATAATTTATGATTATAATATAATATATTATATATAATGATAATTCAGTTGTTTTATAAGTTTCATCATTATGACTAGGTAGGTATAACCTTATTGTAATATAGTTTATACTTTAATATCAAAATTGTAAAAAAATACTCGAGACGGACTTATTTTAGTCGCTTAACCAGTATGGCAGTGCCGAACTACCGATGTAATAGTCGATGTCGTTGTAATCGATTTCCACTGTGTATAAATTTATATATAATATTTTATTATTCATAAGAGTATAAGAATAAAGGAAATAGTATTGATTAATTATGTTACAAGATAAAAATTACTTATTGTTATATTACGACGCATACATTATACAATATTGAACAAACACAATTGTTTATGTATTGTTTCATACCATGGCTAAATACACTGGTTTATGTCCTCAAATTGGTTCTGCGCATCTGTGCTATATACGTCATTATAAGCATTGTATGCTTGTTAGTATAATATTGTCTACTGCAAATTATGGACAGACTTACGTCATAATTAAACATACCTAGTAATTATAAAAACATGCCTGCCCTGACTATACGATATTTCGTTTAAGTTGAGATCATACCAGTGTATTTAGCCATGTGTAATCAAAATAATTACAATAATAATAATTCTATTCTATTTAAATATTATAGTGCAAAGACTTTCAATGATAGAGCATATTTAACTAATTTTGTTAGTTGAAACGTACCGACGATACCAGTAACTATTGATAATTAGGGCTCGGATTTCAATGCATTTGCATCTTTTTTCTGGAAAGCTTGACACTATGCTTTCCAAGATACAAATGCGTTTCAAGTATACGCTATGCTAACAAACTTTTTTCATTTAAATTTGTGTGGTTTTTTACTTTTAAGTACATTTTTAAACATTTTTAAGCCATTCATTTTTTAGATTATTGACCTATTTTTAGTTTTATTATGAAAAAAAATATACATATTGTACTAAAGCAACATGTAAAGCAACATTTAAATAAAACGATTTACAAATTTATCTTGATTTCCGAAAAAATCCAGGCCATTTTTTTCAGAGTTTTTAGGTCACAAATGCATTTTTTTAAAAAGCATTTAAATCTGAGTTATATTCCCATAGTAAAATATGAGTAAAATATTAATATAACATATATATATTAAATTCTGAGCTTAACAATAAATGTATTGTATTTACAATGATGTGTGTTTTTTTAAAAATGTTTATCAATATTAATATTGTGGTAATAAAAATTCTCAGATTTTTGACATGAGCATCTTTTTTGAGAGAAAAGTCCAATAAGTTTTCACAAGTTTTGGGAAAAACAAAAAAAAATAGGTTATTTTTAAAAAAATCGATTTTATTTTTTTGGTACAACTCAAAGTTCTGAAAAAAAATGATGCTACAATATTGCACACACACGTCAAAGCAAATATCTAACAAATGACTTAAGATGGTATTATGATAAACGCATTGGACAAGAACTGTGTTGTCAGCACTTGTCTGATTTGACATATTAATATATTGTATCAGGTTCTCATTTTTACGTGCTTAATAGTGTAAACAAAATATTTTTAAAATTAATATTGCTTTAGGATATTATTATTACAAATAGAAAATATAGTGTATGTTAGTTTACTACTTTATTTAAGCCTCACATTTTGGGAAGATAAGACTTATTAATTGTTCTCTATTAAATGTGAATTATAGTCAACGTACATTTTCATTGAAGTTTGGAAAACCTTATACTAGTTGTTATATAATTTTGTACTTTTATATTTTAGGAAAATAGTGATACACTTTGTGATCAAAAGCAATCACTACAACAGCTGATTTTTAATTTGTACACAACATTGCATCTTACTCAGTTAAAAGGATATTCTGTTATGCAATATTCATGGATGTTATTGCAAACGTATGGAAAAGGTATTATAATAAATTTTGCATAATGCTTTATAATGAAAGATAGAAGTTACTTCATGCCTGCACTCATTTTGCATATTCTACATATCACATTAAAAACAAACATTCATAGTCTAAAAAATGTCATTTAAATTAATTCTAAATGAATAACATACTGTATAATGTATACTGTATAGTATGTACACATTAAAGAAACTAACATTATAAAGTATAAATTGATAATTGTTTAACAATTCAATAATTGTGACACAAGAATTATTAAACAATCTACAGAATTTAAGTGTTAAAGATCTAATAGAATATAAAAATATCTTGGTGGACAGATATTAAAAATCTTTTTTACATTAATTTTTTAAGATATTTTCATCCAAGAAACAGTTGGCCATATTTCTTAGAATTGCAGACTTAAATTTTTTTATGAGATGAATAAAGATAAAAATACTGGCATAAAGCTCTTTAAAAAACCTTACCATTAATATTAAATTTTTCAGCTGTTTTGCTTCTTCCCTTAGTTAAAAAATACAAAAATATGGTGTTACTCTAATGCATTATTGTGCAGGAAATTTTACATTCGAAAGAACAAAACAAACAGAACATTTTGAGAAAAAAATCATTGAACAACTCGACGCTTTAAAATCTTCAATTATTTCTGCTAGTAATGTATACTGGAGATGTGATCCGGCAAAACATATAAAGGATACAACTTATTTAGAAGTCACACAATTGTTACAGGTATAATAGAAACAATTTATTGTAAAAGCTTATTAATTACTATTATTGCGAATTAACATATTTGTTATAATATGTAAATCATACACATTTGGAGATAAGTGATGTATTTGTTTTATTCAATAGGGTTACATAGAAAATGAAGCTGATATGAACAGAGAACAGAGCTGCTTGAAAGATTGTTCATACTATGAAGTTGCAGAACATAAATCATGTTTTAGAGATCAATTTTGTGCCAAACAGCGTGTTTGTAATGGACGTATATTAAATTGTCAGTATTTTGATTCAGACATGAGAATTTGTCAATCTGTAAGTATAGTTAAATAACTATTTGAGGTATTTAAAGTTTCTTTTTTAATGTACACTTAAGTTAGTAAATATTTTAAAAACATTTTATAGAAATTTGGAAGCAGTAGGCGATATGATTACATTTCATATGAAAGAGGTAAAGTCTTAGGTGATTCATCAGTTGAATGTAAAGGTACAACAAGTGCGGTAGACAGCTGGTGGACATTTTTGGTTTGGCATTGTTCTTACTGTTTTTGCATTTGCGATTCAAATGATTCTGCTTCTGATAGATACTTCAGTTTAAGACCTTCAGTGTCTAATGTTAATGAAAATATGTAAGCTTCAACTATTAATTACATTTCTGTTCTTACATTTTTAATTTGGTATGTTCCTTATTTAGGGTTATAACCGGTGTAAGGTTTACTAAAGTTAAACAAATGTTCCATTTACAAGCACAAGAAGGTGAACTTGGCCCTCGAGGAGCAATAATTGAATCTTCCAGACGATGGATTGAAGTACCTGGTTCTGAGTTTTCATATAGGAATAAAACATTAAAAGATGGTGTCGACTATCATACATTAACATATGAAGCACGCATTATGGATATTGATAATGTAATTGCTCCTGAAAATACGGTTGTGACAGGTGAAATGTTTTAATTTTCTTCTATGGTCAAAATAATTAATTAATATACATAATTATGTATTAATATACATTTTATAAATTATTATAGGATTAAAATTTAGAAAGATTGGATCTCACCTTAATATTGAAGTCCGCATTACTCCGTTCGATTTTATGACTGGTGAACTTATTGAACCCGAGTTAAAAAGTTATTGGATCGGAAATGAAAACACTGAATTGTCCATAAATCCAAGGTTTGTAAATTGTTTTTACTGCGGTGTTTATTGTGTTAATGTTAAACCTATTTTTTATGTTTATATAAATATATGTATATGTGTGTGTGTGTGTGTGGTATCTCATATTTAATAATCATTATTTTATACTCATAGGACTGAAATTGACATAAATAATTCAGATTTGCAAACCAAATCAAGTACTGCATCTGAACCAGATATGTCTTCAAATAAATTCCTCAAGTTTACACATTCATCTATTGACCGTGATGTTGCACAAACAACATTACCTTTTATTGACATGCAGACAGTAGCACCATTTCCAGGAGTGCCATTTTCTGGAATAGGAATTTACTATAAAGGAACAAAAGGTTTTGGTGGATTCATTGGTGCTAATATTTTTACTTACAATTTAAGTAATAACATAAGTCCCAGTTTATACCAAATACATGCAGTTTAAAAGTTGTATTTATTTCAATCTGTATTCTGTAATATTAAGAACCTATATAAACTAATAACATTAATGAATCTCAATTTGTATAATAATAAAGTACTATGCCTGTAAAACATGTGCCAAAATAAAAATAGCATATAATTTTTATTTTATCTGAATTGCATATATTTTAATTAAAGTCAAGATTTACAAATATTATTTCTAGTATTGGTAATTTAAACCTATTTTATATTTCATTTTAATATTTTTTAATATTTATTTTTATTTGTTTTTTATTTTTATTCATTTTATTTGTAAAGTTTGAAAAACAACTTAAATAAAAGTTCTAAAATTGTAAACATTAAGCACAATGTTATTTATAAATATGCATGTGCACTTTTCTTAATTTTGATTTTTTATCATTTTTTTATATCATATATATTTTATTTTATATAATTAACTTATGATCAAATATTATATATTATGTGTTGTACATTTTTTTTAAAACAGCTATGCAATCCACTGTTTTTTAAATATTGGGATTTATGCATATCTGACATGTATAGCATCGATTTTGATTTAATAATAAAAAAAGTATAAAACAATTTAAAAAAATTGAATTTGAATTTTATTTTATTTTTCCTTGAATTAAAATTTTTCTAGGTATTTAATTATTTAAATAATCAGAGATAGAGAAAATCAGGCACTATAATATCTCTCTGTGTTATAATATTATAATTCATATGCATAGTTATTACTAGGGCTCGGATTTTAAAGCAAATGCTTCTATTTATATATTTAAGATAGAAATCTAATTTTTATACATAAATTCGTTTCACGTTAATCTGATTCGAAATAAACGAATTTATTTTTGCTTTTTTTTGCTTTTTTTAGTATAAATGCTTTTTTTGCTTTTTTATTGCTTTTTTCAGTTATTCAAGCTGTGGAATTTTTATTTGTTGTTATGCTATGAAAATAAAATAAAAGTGTAAAGTAAAAGTTAAATGAAGCTCATGGAGATATTGCAACTGCTATTTCTGGTAAACAAAATCGTGTTCTTTTGAAAAACAAAGGCTGGAAACAATTACTGGACATCAATACTATACTGTGTGGCGTTTCATCAGATGAAATTAATTATCATGCTTTTTTTTTGCTTTTTTTAAAAATAAATATGCTTCATTTTTGCTTTTTTTAAACAATTTTATGCTTTTTTTGTTATTTATTATGCTTTAAAATCCGAGCCCTAGTTATTACTTATAAATTATAATATAATTGGAGTATTTGATGATGCTCATTCATATGCAATAACTTTACCATTCTCAAGATACAAAAAACACAGTAAGTGGTATTTGATGGTAGGTGTGGAATAAAACAAGTTAGCTTATATATGTTTGACCATTGAACCGTCATTGAAGAAAGAAAAATATAACGATGCAACTTTATTCATACTTTGTTAAGGGATTTTCCATAATTGCATTTCATCATACATTTATAGGTTTATGTAAATGTGTGGTTCTGACTGTGAAAGGAATGTATTGGTTATCATTGATGTTTTTGCTAGCTTTTTCAAGGAAACTTTCAGGTATCATGTTCATTTTTTATACTTTCAGTATAATGTACACTTGGTAATTTTGTAAGATGAGTTGAGGGTGATTCTGACTCAAAGAGTCGTCGTCCTATACGGGTTGTATTGGACTGCTTATCAGTAGTTTATATATAATATCAAACCAATATGGTTTCTTCGCTATAAATAAATCCATTCACAATAACAAACAACAATATTATAACTTAATATTTCAGAGTATTGTAGATTTTAGTTATAATATTCAATGAACAAAACAAATATTTAACACTAATGTAGGTATGAGTTCTTTACTTAAATTATTTAACCACGAAAGACTTGTACGAGTTAATAAAACAAATATAAAAATTGGTAATAAAAAATAAAAACTGTACAAATATAATATTCACATTGAATATTATTTAAAGAATGATTGCGTTTTAATATTCATGAAACTGTCTGACTCGTATTCTCGAGTACCTCAACTATAGTGAGCCTCGATATAAAAATATACATTTTTTAGGAAAGCTTTCTGCTACGAATGCATTATTATTATTATATGCATATGCCTGTCTATTATTCGAATGTAAATCGAGTTGTGTAACTTTTACATTTTTTACATTATCCTTCGAGTGTACCTCTACGTCGAAAGTAATAGAATAGTACTGTTCCGCTGGATGATAAATTGCTAGTGTATCTTAAGAATTCGTCGAATCCTATGAAGGTATGCAATATTTAGATTAAGTGTACATAGAGATGAGAGCTCGCTCAATTTACCCCGTAAGATAAATTTACGTACATTTTACAAATTTTTTTAGGTACAACTTTTTTAATGTTCATAAGATATATATATATACCACTCACTTCAATCGTTTACACATTACACGTGCATATTAACATATTTTTTTTTTTGGCGGGGGGGGTCCCAGAATTTTTGATACATTGTTATGGACTTATGGTATTGTGCTGGCTTTTACGGTATTAGAAGCAGTTATAATATATATATAATATATATAACCTAACCTAACCTTAACATTTATTTAGAAAATATACAATCTGTAAGGTTAGTTTACAATAGGCATATATGCGGTGTTTATGTGTTTTTACGTGAGTTTACATATGAGTTTAAGGAACTACCCAACAGTAGTACTTATGGCGTGAGGGATTTTGTGTGGGTAATGAGAGTTATAATTTTTTTTTATGTTATTGCTAGGTCTCATATATATAAATATATATTTAAAATATTTATAGATAATTAATTACGTGCCAATTATTGGTATTAGAACCTATTTCGTAGGTACTTATCTACTTTAATACTTTATAACTTTAACTGATATCCACTGGTTAATGGTTATTACGTGATTATTATAATGAATGATAAAAATACTACTGAGTTCGTACTAAATTTATTAAGCTGCAAATAATCTAATAAGTAATGAGTAATAACTAGGCATCCCAATACGTGCATCTATAAAATAACATTTTTTACCTTTTTTTAAAAAAAATGTTTGGTTAAAATGTACAGATATTTTTTTCGGTAAAACTCCCATCACTAGATAATATACGAAACAGATATCAATGCGACGGTTGATGACGTTCACTGTCACCTTGTTGATTGGAGTTTTGTTGCCGGCTTTCGGCCGTTTGGCACCGTATGTCCCAGACTGGCCACACCGGTTGACCACGGCCACATTGACGGCGTACGTGAACAAAACGTTTGGGCCGTTGCAACGGTGCTTGAAAGTGGCGGCCGACGACACTGACGAGGCAGCCGCTATAGTGGCCATGCTCTACCCGCAGCTGGCCAACGACAGTGCGGGCGGACATCAGTCCAACGTGGACGCGCCAACCAGGACAATCGTGTTAGACGCGTATGGTGACGTTCCATTGTTCTGTACTGCCTACATGGTCATCGGACGTCGGCTGGAGACAATCGAAAAGTATTTCGAATATTTTAGGAGTGATGCGGCCGAGAGGATGTTGGTGGTCGTCGTACAGAGTAGGAAATACATTAAGCCGTTCATCAAGGTAAGTTCTACATCTGTGCCATCCATTTCACCAAAGTCATCCTCAGAAATAAAAACACCTATCTGCGTCTTACAAACGTAGAACATGCTACATTGTATGTTCACAATATATGTCAGTCATAACTCATTTTACTGTGATATTTTTAAAATTATAGTGAATTGCCCTACTATGAAAATTAAAGTTATAAGATTGCATACGAAGTCGGGTTAGGTCCTAGGGCGTCCGGAGGCATTTATATATATATTTTAATAACTATACTAATCAAGTATTATGAATTAATGAGCACTTTCAATCTGTAAATGTTGCTCTTGTTAGTTAGACATAAGCGCATGACACACTACGTAGGAACTATACATAGTACCTAGAATTTAGTAGTAATACATGCGTTAGTGCATGTACAATAAATACATTATTTTCAAATTTTGTTCTGATATGTTAGTTATTACTACCTACAATTTATTTTGATATACTTTCACAGGATAGAATATTTGTAAACATCCTTCAAAAATAAGTAAATATAATAGAATAAGATCAGTGCTCGAATTTGAAAAACCAAAAGTAATGGGACGCCAAAACTTGGAAAAAATTAGCGTTCCTTACAATAATTAAACTCAACCTAGCTCATGTCGGGCTTAGCCCCCTTCCCATATCCCCCAACCACCTATCTTCAAAAATACTTAAATATGCTAATATTTCTACTATTTATAGGTAATCAAATATAAACTGTAATAATGATTAATAGATAAAATTATATAAAATACGTTTACCCATGGTTAGAATCATATTAGATATAACAATGAGTTAACACATTTATACATTATTCAAATGGATATTTATTATTTAAAGCAATAGGTAGTGTCTGGTAAATCTTCTATTATAGGTTACAATTGTACATGATGACGTGTTGTATATATTGTTTACAATTTAACAATCAAGTTTCTTATTTAACAGTAATAAACTAATAACCGTTGGGTCGGAAACGCAACAAATAGGTTATATGTATCAACTGTGTTATTCTTTTTTAAACAAAATTTACAACAGCTTAAGTGTTATTAAAATTGAGTTCAAGAAATTTTGTTTTGAAAAAATCATGTAATTTTATCATTTGAACGGTGGACGGTTGACAAATTTATTTCTAACATTTTTTACTACCGACCCTTTGTTTAATGTCGATATTGAGGTTGTCAATATTTGTTTTGATGGAGAAATATCTTTTGTATTGTCCTTTGAAAATATATTATGTGTATTTTGATTTCGATTTCCATGGCGGATATTTTCAAGTTCTGGGATAATAGTTTTTTTTATATTGGTCTTTGGACATAATATTTTGTGCGAATTCGACTTTCTTTTCTCCAATTTTGGTTGATCAATTTTCTGATTTATTTCTGCAGATAATCTATCAAATGTTTCAGCATTTACAGAATGTGTCTTCAAGTTTTGTATACGGTCTCCGCCAGGACCTTGTTTTTTAATTATCGAAGACTGCCTGTATATTGTTGTGTTCGACTAAATTGTATAAGTTTAAGACATAAATTAAATAAATATCATTAATATAATATTATTTTAAATTAGTAATATGTTCAATAGTTTACATAACAACTAGGTACCTATTTAAGGTTAATCAATATTTATAAAATGAGACGGGATGGTAATCATCCTTATACGTACAGGATGTAAGTTGTATATTATTATGTAATCAAAGATTATAACAAATTTCTATGGAAAATGTAATAAGGTATATCGTATTTATTTTAAATTAGTCATTATACTTGTGTAGTATAATGTCAAATCTATATAATAATACATTTACACGATAATTGTACGTTCAACCGATATTTAAAAACACGATTCAAGAAATAACAAAATATAAAATGTATTAAGTACCACAAAATAAAAATTCAAGTAGGCAAGTTCCTACCTATAGTAAATATGAAGAAAGTTTAATTTTAAAATACAATTTAAATAAAGTAGGTTACCTTCTAATTTAAAAATAGGTATACGAATACTTTTACACATCTACATATTATATTAAACACTGTCTGTAACTTACTTCTTGATCTATCTTGGATAAGTTATTTATTGCTTTATTTCTGAGCAATTTTTCAAACTCATTCATTTTATTTTCATAGTCAGTATTCTTAATGTCATAAAAGTACGACTTTCGTAATAATCGATCAGCTGAATACCTCTTGGATGGATCATAAACTATCATATCTTTGATTAATTCATATGCCGGGCGGTATGGTTGGTACACTGAATGCAAGCCAATTCCAGAGGTTCTTTCATTTTGTTTATTAATTTCGTATCGAGCAACGAACACATCAGATTTATGTTTTTTAAATTTATTAGTTAATCTTTGGTCTGGAGAGCCTAATACCCGGTCAACCTTTTCCATCTGGTCATTTTCGTCTCGACCATCGAACAACGGATGACCGGTAGCTATTTCATAAAGTACACATCCCGTTGCCCAAATATCCATCTTTGAATTGTACCAACCTCGTGTCAACAAGCATTCAGGTGAGCGGTACCATCTAGTTGCCACGTATTCTGTATACGGATGGCCATCAGTGGCATGACAAGTGGTTCCAAAATCACCAATCTTTAATAATCTGTCCCGAGATCTCAGCAAAATATTTTCTGGCTTGATATCCCTATGAATAAAGCCATTCTCGTGCAAATACCTTAAGCCTTTACAAAAAGTTCTAATTAATAGTTATTATTATAATTTGCTACAACAATTATACCTTCCAACATTTGATACATATAAGTTTTAATTCTATATTCTGATAGTGGACATTCTCCGTTTTCTATAATATCATATAATGATTTTTTCATCAATTCTGACACTAAAATAATTTTTCCCGTTTCTCTTTCATGGTATGCACTTTCTAGCATAAGTAAGAACGGATGTTTTCCCACCGAGTTTGCTACATTAACTTCGGATATGGCGTTCCATGTGTCAGCGTTCAGTACTGAATGTCCATAATTTTTTTTCAATATTTTTGCCGCATATTCTCGTCCACTGTTTCGTTGCACACATAACCATACTTCGGAAAAAGTGCCCTTTCCAATTGTTTTCTTAAGATCAAATTCAGAATAAAAATTATTAGAATTGTCTTTATTAGATAGTTGTACAGGTGACATTAGGTCGAAAAATACTAAAAATGTAAGTAAGTATTGGTATTTGTATTAAATATGTACAATATTTCTACTTTATGAACATATTAATAAAAAGTTTTGGTTTCCATACAAACACTGAAAATCGATTTTTGTTAATGTATAGCTTAAAAGTATAGGCCAGAAATGTTAAATATTTATTGATTTTCATTTTAAAACGTGTGTGTTATAAATTATAATGCACACATTATAACTATTTCGATGTAGGTTTTTTAATTTTCTACTGAAATTGAAAATGTATTAACGATTATAAAACTAGAAATGATAATAGAATTCAGATAACAAATAGTGTTTATTGATACAAAATATGGTTTATAGCCAATCGCCAGACAGCCTTATAGGTTGATTGCAGAAAGGCGGTGTTATAATAATGAGACTGTTGTAGAAACATTTTCTCCATCTTACATATGTCGAACGTACTTACATATTTATACATTAAACATATTTCATGCATAGGTAGTAAAATACATAGTATACTATGTAGGTATAGGTATCTATAAATTATAATCAATGATATTACGTAAAACAGAACAAAAACCTCTCTCCGAATTATTCCACTAATAATTGTGCTAACATAATTCAATTTAAAGTAACGTCAGGTACTTATTAAAACAATTTAACAAATAATATTATCTGTTTTCCAGAACAGTTTTTTCTTAACTTTTTGTTTGTTTTTTCTGACACTTTTCTTAAAAGTATTGGTAATTTTTTACTTTTCACCCCCCAAAGTACCAACTAGATTCACTTTCCTACTATCAAAAACACCGAAATTGAAAAACCAAGCATTATTTCTACAAATTAACGTGCAACAGGCATAACAAAATCAAATCATTGTAAAATCAATTACAGTTCCAAATACAATTTTTTCGCCAAAAATGAATTTAACCTACTGTATAATGCTAATGTTTAATAGTAAAATAAATTACTTTTAGAGGACGTAACACTGGCATTTGTTGTTTACAAATTTACTCTCAGTAGATCACTTGGTATAGCTTCGTAAGTTCAAAAAGCTAAAAAATGAAACTTTATGGTAAGACCTTTTTAGCCTTAGTCGAGTCACTGATACATATGATTAAACATTAATAAATTATCAATCGGTTTAAAATTAAAATAATTTATCAATATATAATATAGATAATGAACCCATTTCATAGATAAAACGATTATAACAATTAAATACATATTAGCAAATATTTTTTTGAAAATCTTATTTTCTTTTGAGAAACATTCAATATTTAAACATAAATTATATACGTACTAGAGGTTGAAGGTAATAGCCAATAGGTACCTACAGTATTCATAAAAGTATAATTGTATAATGTTGTAATACAACTAATTATAGCCATGTAGTCATGTAGAATGAGTAGACATTAAAGGTCTGCACGGGCCGATACTTTATAGCCCGGTTCGGCCGGGTAAACAATTTAGAAAGCCCGGCCCGGCCTACGAATAGTTTTAGGCGAGTAAGCCCGGCCCGACCCCGCCCGTGAATAGTTTTTGTCGTAAGTAAGCCTGGCACGGGTAGACCCATTTTTTTTTATTTGTGTGGTCCAGGCGTCCTGCCCAATACCTATCTAAAAATTGAATGGATTAAGCACGGCATGGTTAAGTCAATATATTTTCGTCCATCATGACCATGGTAAAATAATTTTTGAGATAGCTCAGTCCGAAGTTTTTGTAGTTTTTAAGTAGAGACCTCTCATTCTTTTAAAAGAATTTTTTTTTTAAATGATAAAATAGTGTAGGTACTAGGTATCAGGTAGTAGGTAGTAGATAACTGTTTTAATTTACATAACCTCCAAAGGTCGTATGTATTCAAGAGAATCAGAAGAAAATTAGAATTTACCTATCTTACTTCCTTAACAATAACATAAAAAGTAAGTAAGATAGGTAAATTCTGATTGCACCAACATGTTGAGCATACAAATACTAACAAATATCACACAATATACTCAGTCTTTCGAATAACAAATTAAGTACCTAGTGAGTAAAAAATAGTGCGGCCCTACCCGGCTTGTCTAACTTTTGTCCTAATATATATCCGGCCCGGCCCAAAGCCCGTCCGGGCCGGTCTGGGTAAGCCCGCGGCCCGTGCAGGTCTTTAGTAGACATGGAAAACACATTAAACGAATATAATGCTAACTCGTCACCCGTCGGTTTCTATTCATAATAATTAATAATTATTATTTATTTTATTTTATTTATTCTAACTTCTTACTTGAATTCAGTACAATACGTCTAAACAACAACATACGCATTGATTAGACTAATGCATAGTTGTACCAAATAAATAAATTTTTACTATACATTATGATGAGTAAATGTATTACCATTCATGTTTGTCCTATATGAATCGCTTATTATTGGGGGAAATTGGAATTCGATGAAATTTATAATATAGATATGCAGTAGGTACTAAGGAACCTATGCTTACTTTTGAGTTTTTCTATAAAACGTAAATATTTTACTAGTTATAATATTCAAAGATAAATAAAATTAGGTAGGAACATTGATAATATTTTTGGGTGGAGCCATGAAGCTACAATGCTTAGGTTACAATCAATATTAGCGGTACCTATATATTAATCTTTAGTTAATAATTATGATCATAAATATTTCTGTTTATCTATTTAAAATCAAGTAATAATATTATGCAATTTTAATGTTTGTTTACAAAAAAGTTTGGCTTTAGTCAAATTGGTGTTTTGCTATTTATATTATTTATCAAATAGATTTAAGGGATTTGTACGGTTTATTAAATTTCAGTACTCACCTTCATACTTCAATTACAAAGATGTTATACTTATAAATGTATATCCGCAAAAAGAAGCAGTGTATCAAATGAGCATATACTTCAAGAAATTCGTCCCTATTTCCAAGCATCAGAACCAATGGTTTACACATGTAAGTACCTATGTTAAATAAGTTAATGTTTTGTAGGTTATACTTTAACCGTAATAATAAAAGTGTCCAATAGTAATTGCATTAAGTAATACTACGAATATTATAATAGTAAGCAGGTTTTTACTTTTTCAAGATTTTGTTATTAATCATCTATATAAAAACTCACTGTTTTTCCTGTCGTATTTAAAAACTTCTATGAATTATTTACTTCCGACCCACAGTACAACGCAGTATGACACAGTACAAACTATCCTTAGTACTTACTATATTATACATTAATACTTACTTCCGTGCAGAAAAGATGATGAAATAGAAAATTGAAAATTTATTAGTTTTTAATGGCCCAAGACACAAAAAAACACACAACATTATGAAATCAATATATTCATATAAGTAACCAGAATAAATATTTCATGTCTGCGATATAATTTTATCACTGATAATAAAAATAACGACAAATATTCGATCCAGTCGAACCTTTTTCAATCAATTATTTTTTTTAAATTTGTTTTTTGTGTGACAAATTTTTTTGTTGAATACGAAAGCCTTTAACAAGATTCGAGAATACCGATGACGAGCTGAAAAAACGAAGCCGGCGGTACCAGGGTCTCACGGTCTAGCCGCTTCGAAATTAACGTCGTTGGCACGCGGCGAGCAGTTGTGGCGGCGGCACTAGTATAATAGACTACAACTCATTTTTAATTCAACGAACGTCACGATCGCAGTATAAGTTCCTGTTACATATATTTCAATGTTTCGCGTTATAAACGTTAAAAAACTTTTAATACGCGTTTCAATGTTTTCACAATGTCTTTTCGCTACTGACTTTTAAAACTCAGGGCCAGTTGTATCATCTCCGATTAAAGTTAACCGAAGTTTAATCGGCCGAATTTAGCCTGTTATAAATCTGTTATCAGCAGATTAAGCGTTAACCGAACATTGTTAGAACCAGCCTCAGTTACAGGGCTCAAGTGTCGGTTAACGCTAACCTGCTGTTAACAAATTTTATGAAAATTAACTTAAACAAACGATTATCTCTAGGAGATTCAACCGGAGATGATAAGAACAGCCCTTAAACTGATCCAATATTTAAATATCATGCTTATTATTAATTAATATTTCATTATAATATATTTCTATATTAGTTATAAGTTATAACTTATAACATCTATTTAGACTTTCTACTTCTGTTCAATCCTTAGCTATAAAAATTGAAAATTATAGTATACATTTTTAACTACAAAATCATTTTCAATTTTATAAATACTGTCAAAATTTGAACTTTAAATGCTTATAAAAAAAAATCATGCCCATGTATTTTGAATATTTTTTAACCGCTATTAAAACTGGTTATCAAGTCTTTTATTAAATTTTCATACTTTTTTACTCAACCAATAAAATTGTATTGACATTTATAGAAAAAAAAATGAAAATTGAAAACGTCCGTCAACAACTTAATACAAGTCAAAATATTTTGAAAATTTTATCAAAGTTTATGAATATTTGGTGTAAATTTCAAGTGCCTGCAGTAATTCGTTTTTGAATTACAATAAAATAAGAAAATCCCTACCCGATAAATCCATTGCTGTAAAAATTTTAACTTCAAACGCTCATAACAATTTAATTTGACCTTTTTTCCCGTAGAAATTTTGGTTTTAATAAAGGTAGGCAAACTTATAAGGAATCTTGTATTATATTTTCAAGTTTTTTGACAGAGTGAAGATTTTTTATCGACTTGAGTTTAAAAAAACAAATAATAATCGAAAATTTCATATGCATATAAATAGTTCAACACAAATCAAAATATTTTGAAAATTATGTGGTGTATAGAAACATGCTTACATAAATATTGAGTGATAATTTCATGTATCTTCGATTATTTTTGATAGAGTGACACTAAAACCAATAATCGATTTTTTCGAAAAATGGTTTTGCGTAAAAATTCCCGTTTTACCTTAATTTTGTGTTTGTTATTCCTGTTACCTTTGAAAACTATTGGGAATTTTAAATTTTGATCACCCAGACACACCAACTAGATTCACTTTCCTACTAGAAAAGTTGCTGTTAAAGAAAATTGAAGCACTTTTATTGCATGAAACCGTGATGACAAATATAAAAAAAAATTAAATAAATAAATAAATATAAAAACACACATTGTAAAATCAATACGTTCATCGCTCCGCTCAGAATCTAAAATGTGTTATTTTGTCTACTCGATAAATTAATATTCTTTTAACCTCTATTAGGTTATGCATGCAGACATATAGTGTTGAATTTAATTTCAATTCAATATGTCTATATATAATAAATATCAATTCTTATCAAAATATGTTAAAATATTCTTAAGTCAGAAAATATGCAGAAAATTGCATAATAATATTAATATATTTTACAATTATATGAAATTATTTTAAGGACTTGGAAGGAAAACAAAAAGTGAAAAACTTTTATAAGACCCGTATAAAATTATTGGCTTACAACAATTCATTTTTTAGTACTGTGATAAAAGACAATGGAACGGGAAAATTAAGTGAGTATGTTATTAAACAAAACAAACATAGCCTAGTTATACTTGAAATATATCTAGTTCAGTAGGTACATATCGTCATATCTCATATGGCATAAGTCACTATTAAAGCTATTTCCACCATAAAAATCATATTATAGTGTAATTTGAATTTTTCTTATGAACAATTTTAGATGACAATACTATTATACTAAAATCTACAACATACCTCCTATTTATTTAAAATAAGAAAAGAAAAAATATAAAAACTTCCAATTGTCTAACAGTCTTCTATGCCTATATGTATAGTAGTTATTATATTTAGCTGTCCGAAGTTGCACTGAATTTGTGATCAATTCGGACACACATTTATTATAAGTATAATTGTTATTGGTAGGACAAATTAAAAAAGTAAAAGGTAGGTTCAGGTAGGAGTATAGAATGTTTTTAAGAAAATGGTTCCAGTAAAAAATGTTCTAATATCAAAATATCATAAAAATTCTAGCTCTAAGATAAAATTAAGCATATTTTTGATAAATACATTGTCCTCTTTGGCATAAAAATAGATCATTTTTTTTTTAATTTGGGCAAATTTATAATAGAAATAAATATTTATTATTTTCTTTCAATCAAAAATGTATAACTATACAATTAATTAATTAAAAGAACATAATTCGTACACAAAATAAAGAATGTTCTAATATAAAAATTAATAACTCCTGTAATAAAAGGTTAATTTTTAACAATAAATATACAAATACCTACTGTGCAGTGTGAGTTATGAGAAGAAAAGTGTCATATGATTGCGCAAGTGCTCATAGCAGAGTATAGCTAACTGTACAACACATTTTATAACGAACATTTTTTTTTGAGTTTCAAATATTGAAAACATATTAAAATTTGAAGCTGCACCACTGTCCGAATTTATACCAAATGAGTATATATGGCTGTACTTTAAATCCATTTATAAAATGTGGAATAATATACAGACTCCAGTTAAAATGATGTTTTAATACTACAGGCTTATCGTATGGCGTCGAATGTAGTATATTCAAAGAAATTGCTACAAGATTGAATATCACATGGGACACATATACATCTGACGACAAAGACAAATGGGGAACAGTATGGTCGAACAATACAATAACCGGTGGTGCACTCAAATGGTTGTATACTAAAAAGGTTGATGTATCATTTTGCTCACTTTGGATTGATCATATAAAAACCAAGTTCGTGGACATGTCTAAATTTTGGACATTAACTTGTTTAAAATTTTTGGTTCCCAAGCCCCTGCCTTTGCGAGAAAAATGGGACTTGCTGTTCAAACCGTTTCCGTTAAGTTTGTGGCTATTAGTTTTATTTTCTGCGACGTTAACGACGATTACAGTATGGATATTGGCAGGCATTCAGAAAAAGATTGGCTATGCAAATATTAACGGTTGGTACTTACGTCACATATAGCTTTATCCTTATAATATTACTTATAGGTTTAAAACAATTTTTGTATGAAACACATCTGAAGTTAAAATTTGCAATTTGTAATTACCGATAAAAAAAGGTAATTTGTAGGTACCTAGGTATTGAAAATACAACTTTTTAACTAAAATAAAAAATACTTTATCACATAATTTTTATTAGAAACCTCAAAAATTCGAAAATATTTTGTCAATACTTAATGAACTTTTACAGTTTTAAGTATAATTTTTAACCTGAGGTCAATAAAAGACCAATTTTGAGTCGGTATCGCTTGTTGTTTTTAGTTTAAAAGCTGCAGTTTATCATGATAATAATACATTTTTATAATTAGACTCGTGAACGTTAATACATATCCTACTATTCCTACTCAATGCTTGACACAGATTAAAGTGTCAGATTTTCTATGAACAGTGTTCAACTTAGTTCAATATGCACCAGAATAGTATAAGATGTGTAAATGGGCACGGTAATACGGTACACGACACTACGGACGACGTACATCGATACGGAAAGAAAACTTTAACTAATTTGATTTTTGCTCCATGTTCTGTTTAAAGTATGTAGGTAAAACAGAAAGTGCATATCCAACTTAATACAATACATACATTGTATTAACTACTCTTCTACCTGTATCTGTTTTTTTTTATCTATTCCATAATGAATAAGGATCTTCAATTTGAGATTAAATATTTAAATACCTACATTATATTCTTCTTATGAAAAAATTTTATTTATGAACGGATCTTATGAATGTCTAATTTATGTACCTATTACTTTTAGTTATTATTTAATTTATGTTCCAAATGTAAATTTTATATAAAACGTATGTACTTGTTTTATAGCATTTACTTCGTTATCAGCTACCATTTTTTGGATTATCGGAATGATGTTGTTGACTAACAATCCACGAACTTACAAAATGGGACCTATTAGACATTTGATCAGTTGGTGGTGCATGTTTATATTCATCATATCTACTTCGTTTTCCAGCATTCTCTATTCATTCATTACATCACCCGAGTACACAGATATTGTTTTGGAGGTTGAAGACATGGTGAAAGCCAATTACCATTGGGGCCTCACATATCCACCCCCTTATGAATACATACTAAAAATGGAGGTAAGACGGTCATGTTGTTTGTACTCTTATGATTTTGTGTGGGGATAAAATTATATATATATTAATTTTAAACTTTTTAAATAATATTTTGTACTCGAATGATCATATAAAATGAATTACAAGGGCAAAAGGGGGCAAGTGTACTATAGTACCCCATAGGGACTTTCCACCTTTGTTTTCTTCTATTTGCTCGGACCATCAGTCCTGCAGACTACAGTATAGTAGTAGCTATAATATAGCACTGTATAATACGCGGAATGCCTACTACATACACGATACACCTAAACATTTGTGTATACAGCTAGGCAGAGGCGCACTCAGGATATTTCAACGAAGAGGATGCTTGAAAATTAATAATTACAATTTTATTTTTATTTTGTCCAGTCTAAAAATTTCAGACGTTTATGTGAGGTATTTGAAAGAGTTTGTACAACTTCAACTTCTCTACTTTTTTAGTAGAAAAAATTCTCTGATTATCAACTTTGATGGAGGTTTTTATTTGAGGGTCGTTATTTTTAATTTGACATCATAAAACCTTGTGCTTCAATTCAAAGCTATCGACTTGTTTCAATTAGGTACCTATAGCATCTATCTATATGTCCATGCTTATAATTCCCTTACTTATTCAATGAAATCTTAAACCGAACACTTTCGGTCGCTGAAATTGTATTCAGAAGGTTCAGTTTATAACTTATGGAAAGCTTGTAGTTTATTCAAAAAAAAAAACTTCTGCTATTTAGAAAGGTTTCACTGTTTTAGTATATTATATATGATAAGTATTAAGTACGTACGTCGTACACTCGTGCGTATAAACCTACACGAAATAAAAACAAATAATATTATTATAGGTGATTTATCATTTACAATCCAAAGTATGTAAGTTCCAATATGTATAAGTAGATGTTTTTACATTAATCTTGTATCCCTAGTTATATTATTATTACATTTTATTAGTGCGGTATATAACTATTAAAATATTTTTAATGAAATGTGCTAAAAATAACCTATTTCGTATTATAACAAAATAGTGTTATCCACTCAATTGTCCAGACATCCAGTGAAATAAATCCAAAGAAAAACAAAAATTATTTATTTTTATTAATTATAATTTAGTAACCCTATGTATCGTATTACTTAAACAATCTCTGATTGTATATTATATTTTATATTTAGTTAGTTAATTTAATAATGTTCTAGAAGGAAAATTCTCTGAATATCCCTTGAAATATAGGTACCTAATACCAGTAATGCCTATACTTAATGATTATATTATGTTCAAATACGAAAATAAGTAATGCTTGATGTATTTAAAATAGACTGACGTTTGACAATCAACATGTCAGTTAACCCACGCCGATCATTCGATCAAAATAGCTTTATCAGCAGTTCGTTACCGTGGGAAAGTAGAAGTATAATATCATTAATATCCAATACAAATATTATGCTGGCTCCACATATAACATTGTAAAATAATAAACTAAAACTCAATTTTCTCATCACATGCGAGATTACATAAATTGTTTTTAAAAACATAAATTCTGTTTTGTGTTAATTGTACTGTCTCTCTGTAGTCTCGACTTTACATAATGTCATAATCATCGAGATAGATAAACAATATTGTAAAAAAATAATAATATAGATACAATAATATAATAATAATATTTATAACAGTATTGTTTAGCCATCTCGATGGTCATAATAATAAAATAAAACTATACACATTATATGAATATTATCAATTATATTAGGTAAATATTTTAACTTTATTTATTTTAATGTTTGCCGAAAAAACCAAATATTTTGAAAGGAAATAATTGATTACATAATGCATAGACATAATATTATAGTATAATTATAATAACATAATTTATTCATAGTAGTACAATTAATTGGCTGTATTAATAAAAAATAAAAAACTATGTTTAAAATTAAATTTTTTTAATCTTTATGTTCACTAGTCATAAACTTATAACTAGGAAACTTTCAAATACAAATATATAGAAAAATAGGTGGAAGAACACATTACGATCTTAACTTAAAATTGTATACTTATCAGCGCTGGTCAATTATTAATAACACTCGTGAAATCATAGACACATTATGTCTGAGCTTTTGGCTTACCCGTATACTTGGCTGAGATCATTTTTAGATCATAATATTTACGTAACTTTATCTAGTTTCAAAATTAAAATATCAAAAAAACCTATGTATAACATTGTAGTCCGTAAATAATAATTGTTATTTATTCTGAGAAGCTGACATAATTAATCATTGAGTTATTCGAAACAAACAAGCAAAAACTGTAGTATCTTAGCCAAGACTTTAAATCACAAAATTACAATATCGTCATAATATGCATATGGGTTGACAGAAAACGGTGAAAAGTATGCGGTATAGCTAACCTAGCCAGTTTCAAATAATATTATAATTAGTATATTGGCAGATACCTCTATTATTATTAATAATAAAAATAACATTTTTGCACACAACCCTTGTAGAATCCCGTCCACGTGAAGTTCAGCAAGCGGTTCGTACCGGAACGCGGAGTGGACGATCGGATCAGCCGATTGAAGCACGGCCGGTACGCAATTCTGACGAAGTGCCTGTACGAGAAACACTTCATGGAGTCGGATAAAGTGCCAGTGGCTATGTTGAACAACCTGCGGACGGCTCGGACGTGCTTGAGCCAGTTTTATATCGGTTTCGGATTCGCTAAGCGGTCGCCATACGCGAAACCGGCAAACCTGGTTATCCAGCGGATCTTTGAAAGTGGGCTGATCGACTATTGGCTAAGCCGGGTGACCGAAGTCCACATATCGCCCGCCACGTTCAAGCAAGTGTACGAGATAAAGCCACGCAAAGGCGGCCACCCTTCGCCGCTTAGCTACCGACAGTTCAAAGTCGTCATGGTGGTGTGGATGGTCGGATGCGCGCTTTCAGCTGCCGTGTTCGCCGTCGAATGTTGGCATGGCCATGGTGGCAGTCCCCGATTGCACTAATCTCTGCAGCACAAATAATATTACAATATTATTATTAATATTTTTTCGGATTGACAGCACGCCCACACCCGCATCGTGTGTTGTCTCTAACTTTACAAAAGTAAAATTCGAGTTCAGCAGTTCCAATTGTGTGTATAGGTATAAGATAGCTTTAAAATTAGAGTGAATCTACCTATATAGTCAAACATATTTAATATTATTAACAGGAATCTCTCGATGGTTTTCTACGACATTTTGATTTTAGGCAATTAGGTATATTATGTGAGAAAGTATGATTTAAAAATTATCATAACCCCTTTAAAAATTAAAACCGTAAAAAACCATCGAGAGATCTGCAGAGATATATAATATTGTTCTTATATTTAAGATATAATTTTAGCTTAGGTATATACTATATACTATATAAGTATAGCATATTATTATATTACCTAATACCTAGGTACCTATATTATTGCTATTATTTACATTCACTTGTGATGTGTGAGTGTGCGACTCAAGTGTCTCAAACACGTATAATATTTTGATAAAAGTTTGTAGTTTATATATATAGTTAGTATCATCTAAAATGAGGGCCAAGGGACCATAAAAAAATTGTCGTTATAACTAGATGTCGTTACATAAATTTTCATATATAAATAAACGGAATTTTTCTGGGACCTAGCAATTATACAATAACGTCGTACACTGCTTTATATCTCATATATCTCATAGATCGTTATGACCGGTGATGTTATTGGTGGTAATTATACCAACTGTACTTTATTTGTAGATCACCACGTCAGTATTCAGTGGCGTACTTAGACCTGTATTTTTTTATTTTTTGGAGAAGAGGTTAAATTTATAAATTGGACGATCAGAACAAAACAAATTATAGGTATTGTTAACTTCAATGGATTAACCGTTTTTACCCAATTAATTTTTTTCTAGTTAGCTGACGTAGTCCGTCACTGAGTTTGATGGGCAAATAATACATTTATTATAATATAGAGTAGGTATTTGTACTATAGATACTATAGTGACGCACGGAGTGCCGCGTTAGTACGTGGAAACGACGAAAACAATAACAGGTTTATAGGCAATAGCAGATAATTATATTTACACTAAGTATTTTTAAGTACAGTAAAATTAGTTTAAATACAATGCTTTTTTGTTTTTGTTATTTTATCAACCAAAAGATATTTTAAAAAAAATGTATTCTTCCTAAAATGTCAATGTGATTTTTAAGCTTGATTAACTCTATTTTAGATTCTGAGAGGAGAGATAAATTAATTGATTTTATATTTTATTATGTGTTTTTTATTTTTATTTTGTGTGAGAAAATAATAAATATACACAAAAATTAGACAAAATAATGCTTTGATTGATGATTTTCAACTTCAGTATCTTTTATGGTGAAAAAGTAAATATATAATTGGTGCGTTTGGGAGATCGAAATCTCCAAAAATTTTCAAAAGTGACGGGAAAAACAAAAAAAAAAATTATGGAAACACGGGAATTTTCACCCAAAAACTGATTTTGACAAAATCGATGTTGGTTTTTTTATGTAACTCTCCATAAAAGACCGTAGATGCATGAAGTAGTGAATGTTTATAGTAGCATTTTCTATACAACATAATATTTTCAAAATTTTGACTGTGTTGAGCTATTTATAAACATATGAAATTCCGATTTTTATTAGATTTTTTTAGTTAATGTGGATAAAAAAATGTTTGCTCGATCAAAAAAATAGTTTTAAAATTAGTTTGTTTTCTATAAATTTCAATAAAATTGTATTCGTTGGTCAAAAAGTTAGAAAATTTAATACATGGTCACACATTGTCACAATAGCAGTTTAAAAATATTAAGAATTCAAAGATCCAATTTTAGAATAGAACCTATTATTAAAAGAACAATGTAACTGTAGCCATTGCGCCGTAATCATCAAAATGAGATCAATAAAAAATGTTGCTTTACTATGTAAGTAGTAGGTACCTATAGTATACTTACCCGATGGTCTAATATGTGTATGGTAAGCATTTTTTATTAAATGGTAACAGTTTATTATGTATTATATATTTATTGTTAATGTTATTTGTGTGGTATTGTGGCCCCTTAAATAAGTTGTAGCCTGCAGACTGTAGTAGGTACATATGGTACAAATTGGTGTTTTCGGTTTTGGTGAGAGAGACTGAGAGAGATTTGTTTTGAATTTCATAATATAATTTCAGCACTATGCTACAATAAAATTATGTGTATGAAATATATAATTCTAATTTTCACCCATTGAATATTGGCAATTGGCTATTTAGCTTAATGTTTATAAGCATTACTGCATATGTACTTTTGCCTAGTGTTTTTAAAGTAGCGTAGAGTGAAATTTGGTGGCTCAACTACACAAACAGAACAGTAATAATAATACTTAATTATAATAATGTGATAACTAATAAAAGTTACTAATTATAGTAATGACTATTTACTTATGAGTCGGAGTATTCCGCTATACCTACATTATGCAATTGCATTTAGAGGATGCCAGTGCAATGTTTGTTTTTTCTCTTTGTCCTACGCACAACATAGACAAAACGTATTTACGCAGAATCATTTTTTTTATGTTTTTGAGTTATCTTACAGTAAGATCACCCATTACAAATATGATGGAAAATATATTTTGGAGGGTACGACATATCGGTTTCTATGCCTTTGAACATCATTTAAATTTACAATTTTTTGTTTTTATTTTGAAATTCGAATATAAATTAAATTAATAATAAAATATAAAACCGATATGTCAAACTCTCAAAAATATTCTACCTCTATAATTTTTGTAATATACTCAAAGATTCATAAAAAACGATTTTAGGTAAAAGTGTTGCATCAATGTTGCGTGTGCGTCTGAGAGAGAAAACAAGAATTGACATGCTCTTAAACAGTCATTTCATAATTACAAGATGTGTTTTATCGCTCGTACTGACAATAGATATCCACATAAGTACATGACTGGTCAACAATGGAAAATCCCCAAGTTATCTATTGTAATTGTAAAAATCATTAGATTTTATAGATCTTATACCTTAGATCATATACAATCATTAAATGATGTATTATTGTATAATATGATTTAAGCCGTAAACTATAATGTTAAGTATAAAGTCTATACGACTATACTCTATACCACAGATATCTTTATAAATAAGGTATAATATTATTGATATCTGTGTCTATACAGATTTCAATGGAGAGATAATAAGCTCTCTAGATTTCACTAGTGATAAGATTTTGATAACTAGGGTCTGTCTATACNTAATTTTTGAATAACAACTAAATATCAAAAATGTAGGTGGGTAGACTTAAACATTTGCTCCTTGTGTTAAAACAGCTAGCCACATCACTGCAGGTTTCACTCATGTCCTGTATGTTTTCAGCTACTTATCTGTAAAATAATTTGTATAGATCATTGAAACATTTTATCAATGTATTATAATATTATATTATATTATTGTTGCATTAGTCTAAAATTTCAAAAATTCAAATTTTAAACAATAAACAAATTGTGTAGGTACCTGTTATTGAGGTAAAAAAAAACCCAATAGGTTATTGAACAATAATTATTAATATTACCTATTACAATTTCTTAGTATAATATAAGTCTTTAATTATTTTTATTTACTAAACTATGTATTATTGTATTATTATTATTATTGTATATATATATTTTATGAATAATTAGACATAACTCTTACGTTTTATTTTTTGGTTTTGAGGTCATATACAACTTCAACAGACAATTTGGCATTACTAATCATCGACAAATTGTATTAATTGGAGATGTCTTGTCTTGTCTTCATTTAAAAACAATTAATAATCAGATAGTCAAATATAAATTCAAACTTCTTATATTTGTAATATAATACCTATGTAAACCGTTGTAATTTAAAATTTTTCAATTGTTTGAGCGCCTATTCTAGCTGTTATGTAACTCGTATGAATAGATATTATTATAATGGTATGTGATTAAAGGATATTTTTGATTTCATCAAAAAAAAATGCTATTTTACATAGGTATTTGTATATAAATTATTATTAGGTATTAATTTTAGTTTAAGTATAATGAATGGATATTGGATAATATAGTATAATGTAGTAAAATATAAATAAATTATAATATATAATGTAATTCATTTTAATTATGCTATTTATATAATTAACTGTTCCTATATTGGTCAATTAGATCACTAATTTTGAGATCAACTAGATCTTTAGGGGAAAATATAAATTTGGTGATCTTAAAGACCGTTATATAGATCTAGATGGCCAAAGGGGATTTAGTTGACCGGGGAACTAATTGACTCACGAAGATCTAGTTGACCACAGGTGATCTAGTTGACCACAGGGGAGCTAGATGACCATGGGGATCTAATATGACGGGGATCTAGGTGATACGTCACCAATATAGGTATACTTTATTTGGCCTCAATTGTTCCCCTCGAAGACCGCTGATAAGACCAATATGTCCTATCCATATCTTTATTATCTATGCTGCGTATAGACAGACCCTGATAACTATATTAAAAACCATAGATTTAATAAATAACAACAAAACAGTAACAGTATATTATAGACCGTAAGTAGTAGGTACTAGGTAGAGGTATATTATTAATGTATTACAGACATATTTTATTTTACCTATAGGTACAATGGTATGTACACAAAATCGTTTTTTTGTTTGTTCCAAGTTTCAAGCAAAGTATATAATTATTAAACACAACATTGTTTTACAAATATGCAATATTCAAAATGCGATAGGTAAGTACAGTGTTAAAAGTTCTACTATTTAAGACATACATTTTTGTCATTTAGACATTATTATCTTAAAAATTTAACCATACCTACTAATACTAACACTCACTAATAACTAAACCTAAACTAATATTTAGTGATGCGGCGCAGCCTGCAATAGTAGCAAGTATGGTACAATGGTACAATCACTATTTCAGCATTCTACCTCATCTGGTGGCTTATCAACACGCATCAGTCATCACCAACCATCACAAACGAGCACGGGAAGCAAGCAGCAGGACTGAGGCGGGACTTGCCCGCATAAGGCCAAAGCATAGTCACCAATATTAATATTAATATTTCGTCAAATGGCATGAAAATATATTATAGTTTCTTAGCATTAGTTAGCGTTGTATGGTCATGTTTATTAGTGTCACATTGGACGTGGAAAGTGGAAACTCGTACTCATAATCTTTAATATTTGTATAACCGTCATAACTCTAACTCATAATGACAAGCTGTGTCTGATCGTTTTTCTAGTAAGTAAACACATTTTGTGTTACTCTAAATTTTTATCACCTATGTTCTGCAACTTAACTTGCTACTTGTCGGCAAACAAATTTGTGGGTGAGTGAGCGTGTAGTGAGTATTTTAATTACACATGATAATTGAAGTATTAAACTTGCTAGTCACTTGGTGGCACTTGTCGCTTTAGCGATTTTTCTATCCAGCAAAGTGATAAAAGTAGGCTGGTTGTTGAGTTTATTCCTGCGAGCAGCGTAAGCTACTTGGTCTATTGCATTGAATGAGGTGGGCAATAAAATAGCAGCAATTCAATTTTACTACAAGTAAAAGAAAACAATTCTGTGACTTACATTAAATATCTCTTTAATTTTTTTGTTTGCACAAAATATTATACTAAATGATTTCATAAAAAAAAAAAAATTGAAAAATATATCATACAAAAACATTGATAAATCAACTGAATAGGTATAATCTTAATTATGATGATATTGATTATTAATTTATGTACTTATCAATGGTAAGTATTTTATTACTACCTTCGTGGAGATCACTACTAGATTGTTAATTCCTATTTTTTTAATGTTGTCCCTTTCACTATTAGTTGACTATCTTTTAATAGCTTCAACACGTTAGACCATTTTATCCCAAAACGTGATTTGTTAGGACACTATTTTTTTTCTGATTTAACATGTTTGGGTACTATTGTCTACACTCTATACTAATTAAATATTATGTTTATTATGTATTTTTTTTATGTATGTAAACTGCAAAATATATTGTACCTTTTTTTGTGAGTTATATATAAGGTTATAGTCTTATGAGTTAGAAATTGTATGCTATGGACAATATTATAGAGTATTCAGTATAAGAATAGCCAAGCACATAGCTTTAGGATGGCCTGGGGGCATATTTACTGACTATCCCATTATATTGTTGAAATACCTAAGGCTCAAATAATTGAGTTAAAGTATAAAAAAATTTAACCATATTTTAAATTTTTTACTTTAATAATTGTTATTATTACATAATTATCTTAACACCATGTTCTATGGAAACACAACAAATATGAACAAAACATCTTGTAACTTATCGCACCAGATGAAATTTAATGTTTGGTGCATAGTCAGAATAGAAATTATTTTTGTAGGTATTTTTTGTGTATGCATCAAACTACTGTTTCATAAATCTGGGTTCTTATTTTCACATTTCCGAATTACATTCACTCCTTGGTATATATGGCACAAATTATAATATTTACTTTTGTCGTAACTACTGGTACTAGGTACCTTTTTATAATATTTAAATATTAATACAATAATATACTAAAATTATATAATATTTGTTTTCTTATTATTCAGTTATTTTTAGGGGAGGGAACAATGCTGAGCAAGCTTTGTAAACATTATTGCTTATTATTATATGCTTATTGAATTAAGACCAAAAAATATTTTAAATATAATTTATTGTTTCAGTTAGCCGAAAGGTTCCATCACACACTACGGAAAATGGCAAAGCTTAAATAAAAAACTGACGTGGAAGTAATTGATGATATCCCGATTAAAACAAATCTTCTAATCAAAATATTAATGCTAAATCTTTGACGGCAACTTTCCTACCAACTCAACACAATGTGAAAATATCAGTTTTAAATACGGTCAAAATATTTATAATGTTAACCTTACACATTAGATATTTGCAATAAATCATTTTCTCAAGCATCAACAAAATCAACACAATAATATTTGTTAAAAATACAACATGTGTATGGTTTTTCTCTTTAATGAATTCTTATGTAAGCTTTGATAGATTATCAAGACTCCCGTTAGAATTCATACGATTCATACAAGAGAAGAATCATACACATGATGTATTTATAATAAATCAACTTCTCAAGCACCAACTTTTAACCAACACAATAGTATTTGTTTCAAATATAACAAATTTATGGGTTTTCTCTTGAATGAATTCTTATGTGAGATTTGATAGGTTATCAAAACTCTTATTAGGATTCATACAGGAGAAGAACCATACACATGATATATTTATAATAAATAATTTTCTCAAACATACATTTTAAGTTGACATATTTTTAATATTATTTTATATTTTTTATATGTTATTAATTATTATTAAAATAAAAAATGCAATAAATAAAATAATTAGGGAACTTGATGATAATGTGTGTAAAATTATAAAAAGTTAATATGTCTAAACAAAATATCTTATCCATTTGTAAAACCATTGTAAATTTTTTTTTTCTTTCTTTTATAATATCTATTTAATATGATAAATTAATTATTAAGTCGTATTTTTATATTTTGTATAAGTAGTTTACTATAAAAAAAATTACTATATCCATGAACTCCGATACCAGATACGAGCTTATAGCTCAGTTGGTATACGTATCAGCTATGATTAATGTAATTTATTGTAGTTATTTAATTGTAATTGGTTTGGCTGTTTTAAATAAATAGTATTTATATAGTACATAAATGTACTATTTAACTTTTAGATGTTTAGTTATTTTAATAAGTTATATCATTATGTAATATTTATTATCTTATAAATTATAGAATTTAAAAGAGTAAGAGAAAACTATTAGAATAAACACAAAACTAAAATCTTAATATATCTTACAAATTAATAAAATTGCACTTAAAATCTAAGTCTTAAAATAAAAATCAACCATCAATATATTGATAATTATTAAATAATTCATCTTCTCTAGCTAACAATTTAAATAGACACAACATTATTTGTATATATATTTTTTGTAAATTATATATTATATTTTATACCTATTGTACTATATTATATTATATCGAATATCAAAATATTATAACTATAATACATCTATAGTTCTATACTCTACCATGAAATAATTTTAGTAAATTTAACTTAGTATATAAGCTTGACTTCTGTTACACATTTCATCATAAAAATAATTAACTGTTTTAGATTTGTTCATAAATTATAATTAAGATATGTTATAACTTACAATATTACTTCATAGGTTATGGTTATTATTAACTACATGAGTAAATTTATCAGAGATTTATTAATAAATTAAATTGCTGCAATTATGCAAGTAGAACTGCTGGAAGTCCGACTATGGTTAATTTAATTACAATTTATAAGTAATATAATATAAAAATTTACATGATAAACTTGAGTTTAACATGAGAATAATATATTATATCTATTAAGTTGTTTATGCCTGTCAACCACAGTCTTATTGTTCTGAGCTATGAAGAGATGGACAATGATGAATTGTTAGCAGAGAGGTTCAGTGGTTTAATGGACAACACTGTCAAAAAAAGAGCATAGGTTCAACTTGATCCACATAATATACCATCTATAGTCTATACGACTATACCCATTAATGGAGCGAGAGAGAGAAAAGAGTCTTTCAAAGACGAGGATTTCAAGAGAGAGATTTTTAGAAAAGGAATTCATTGATTGCTTTCTAAGTTCTAACATATTATTTAACTAGCTGACCCGGCAATGCTTTGCTATTACTAGATTTCAGTACATTTATATATGTTTAGCCGTTTAGGAATATGTGAAAAGTTTGATATGAATTATCATAATTTAATTAATTTTTTTAGGATAATTTTATATATAACTATATAAGTGTGGAATATATTTGTTTCGTTATGGTGTATGATTTTTATTTTTTTTGTCAATTATATCAATTTGTCTTGAGCATTAAATATTTCTGGATACACTACTTTAAGTGTCTTGCTTCTGAGGCCAGCACAAATAGATTTTGTTTGCATGTGACACGTGACAGAGCTACGTACAATTGACCATTTTAAAAACACTGGACGGTTAAGTCTAAACTTGCAACGTTAAATGTTTGACCTTGTGCCTTATTAATAGTCATTGCAAAGCTTAATTTCACGAGAAATTGTAGCTGTTTGAACTGGAATCGTTAATTGTTTGGTAGGTATCATTGGTATTCTAGGAACCAATCGAACCATGACCATTTCCCAGCTCCACAGCTTGTAAGGATTATACACTCAAGCAGACAGTTTTTAAAGATTTTATTTGTAATCTTGTACCGTTGCATAGTTTTGGCGGACTTAAGTTACGAAGTAAAATTACAAAAAAGTGGGTTCTATATTATAATATAGTACCTAGTGTGATATAAATTTATTACGCAGATAAATAGTTCTAAGGTCTCCCACTATAGCTAGATAAAAAGCTCATTATCATAATTGTTATAACATCTTATTTATTCATATTAAATAAATATATTATGCGGTATGTATAAATAAGCTACGGGCGTACAAAACAACAAGACGTCACGAATTTAATATATATTTGATAATACAATCATAGACTTTTAGTCCATATTCCATAGCCGGAGTATGGAGGTAGTTCCCACGGTGCCGTAATACTACGGTAGTGTTGAATGTTGAAAACTACATAAAATAATAGAAGATAATAAAACAAAAGAATAAAATATAATAATACACAGATAATATCTTTAGGAATATTAAAATATACGCCGGTGGAAACTCTGCCTTGCAAATTATATAAATGTTAAATAAAATACGTAATAAATATTATACGTCTCAATAATATTATTATGGTACGGTCTAAAAACGAAAAAATAATTTTCCCTTCAACAATTTTGGTACAATCGGCAGCTGCTACCTGTGTTGGCTGTGATCGTTGCAAAATTGTATGGCGGGATGCCTTTATTCTGCACAGTGCACAGCATAGAGTAATAATTAAAAAAATTACTAAAAAAAAAAATTATTAAAATAATTACTCTATGGTGCACAGTCGCTGTTATTTTATCTACGTAAAATTTCGAAAATCCAACTGTAACACTGTCCTCCATACTCCCCACTCCTCAGAATGATGGCACTGTGGCAGATGCAGGTATGCACTATGCATATAGTGATATAAACAATAATTGTTTATGGTCGTACTCCGTTGTCGGCGTCTTTATGGTGTATTATCAAAATGTAGAATGTTTCGTTGGAATATCAAGTAGACTTTTTATACTTAGATTAAATACTTTAAATCAAAAAATTATTCAATTGAATTAACTGCGTGCTACGACTAGTATTTTCATTTTCCTGTGATTTTCCTATTAGGTATATAACAATAGGTACAGTAAGTACTTTAATGTATAAATTATGATGCGATTGTCGTGTTTATATTGTATTATTGGTAGTAGTATTTACCATCAATGGTCTAATCAAGATACAACTCCTTTATATTTTGTTGCTCGAGTAATAAAAATATAACACTAATATGCTTTAATGCACTGCATGCCATTTTAATCTGTAATTGGTAGTCTACATACATTGTTGGTGGGTCGTAACTCAATTTTATCACGCCTCACTGGTGTGTTCAGAATTATTTCCGATGTGTAGTCGGTGTCGCCCGATACACGGTTGTACTCCGATTTCACCACAACGGTTTCTGCTGTGAGATTCAGCGATACCCATAGATATATTTTTGTTATTATCGCTTTGTAGCGATACCCAGTCAGTTATTTATCTGTCGTTGTGGGTAAAGTTTCGGACGCTGGCATCTAGTGTCTACAGTTATAGGCTAACATGGCAGTCGTCTAACACAGCGTTTTACATCTGGTTTTCACCACATCAGCTGTACAAGGCGTATCTGTGTGCTTAAATAAAATAAAGTTTTTAGGGTTATAAACATAGGGTTTTCCTCTTATGGCTTCACCTGTACAGCCCATTCAAATTCAAAAACATAAAATTAGGATTTAATGTTGTATTACCTATTTCGGCATTTATCCTCCATCAAACGCAGAATCAACGGGATTCTCCGATGTAGATCACATCCATAAAATGTGTGTGTTTTTGTTATGTATTTTTAAAGATTCTAAGTAGGTACCTATGAATATTTTTATTTTGTATTATTTTGTATGATCAAATATAAATATTTTATTATCTATGGATCACGGTTTTAAATTTAAAATTGACTCCATTGAGGATTGACCAAAGACCAGTACAATGTAGTTATAATGACTAATATTCATTTTATATAATATATAATATAAGTATGTTATAAAAATAACATTATTAATCAAATACATAGGTAATTATCATGATATTGGTGTTTTTTAAATTTAAAACAATTATTATTATTATATTATATACTATAATATCTTCGTTAGTTCATATTGATATTTTTCATTAAAAGCTTATATAAACAATATGTTTGTCTATTGCCTTTAAAATAAACAACAAAATTGTATTTATACTAAAATATAATCAACTATATAATTTTTTGTAATAATATTTTAAATATATTACCTACTAATGTTTGACCACCATCATAAATAATATAATATTTCATCTCCAAAGTTTCATTAGGGTTACCCACAAATTACACATTACGTATTTTTGAAATCACTTAACAGTCACCTAATTAGTGGGCTTACTTGAACCAGACTGTATAATCATAATTCATAAACATCTCATATCTGATAACTATCATCATTCCTTATTATACAATTATTAATGTAATTTACTATAAATTTAGTAAGTTTAAATTTGTAGGCAAGTAGACTGCCACTCTCCAGTAATTCAGACTGATATTAATAAATAATTGTGTTACAAAGGATACTTGTATGTTATTATAAATACTGGAAAATGTTTATCTATTTTTTCTTGGCTTTTTCCCCCTTTTTAATTTTTATAATTTATAATAGTTACTTGGATTATCTACAGAAAAGGAAAATTAAAATTGCACACTATAACACATCTACCTTATGGAAATATTTTTAAATATATTTTATATTATATTTATAGTATATTTTAACCTGGTTTTGATTTAAATAAATTTGGATCCTTGCATTGATTTTATTGGATATTTAGTTAGTAAGATTAATTTTGTTTCATATTACATTTTACTATAGTATATTATAAGTATACATGCATGTTATTAAATACATATAAAAGCAATGATTTAAAAAAATTAACTATACTTTACTCATCAAACTTTTTAAAATAATAATAATTTAAATGAACTTTCTTGAACAAGTTGTTTTAAAAAAAATTAATATGAACTACTGTTTGTTGACACACAGACACTCAATGATTATGAAAGAATTGTATTTCCTGAACACTGCACTTGAGTATTTTACCAGTATTTAAGAGGAAGCCACACCCAAGTGTAGTCTTCATTCATTAGTGTATATGTTACCGGCAATATGTGAAATTCAGTCATTACATATAATGCCTAGGTAGTTTATAAAATACCGGTTGATTTTAGGCAAATTATTTAAAAAAATAATTTTAGTATGAAGTGCCCAGGCATTATACATATTTCCTAGACATTTTCTAGAGTACCTTAACAAATTTAGGCAAAGTATTAAAATAGTTGTGATTAATTTTATGATAGTATACTATATTAACATTATAACATTTTAAATTACATAATATGTACTATTTGTTACAACATGTTAAGCTGGAATGATAAGGGGGTGTTACACAATATTTTGTTTTTAACACACAAACATTTTTTATTGTCTTGTACAATTAATACGCCATATCTAAATTAGAATTATTATTTATTAATTATTATAATAATTTTTAGGTTCTTGGAATGAATAGCATTTGAATATTATTCGATCTAAATTTTAACGCAAAAAAAATTATGCCAATATATTTTTAATATTTTTGAATCTCAGTAATAAAAAGCGGGTAAGTGGTTACCGGTCTGCTGTATATTAGGTGTCATTTGGATCACAATTATATATATTGGGAATGTTAAATTTGAATGCAATGATATGAGGTATCATTTATTTTTGAATTAGAACCAAGATGTATCTTAGTCCGTGACTATAATATTGTACACATGTAATAGACATAATAAAATTTTTTTTTTATTATTATTTCAATCTGTGATAAATGATTTATCAATGAAAATGCCAATATTAATAACTGGTGAAATTTTCAAGTATCTACGACTTATACTTTTTTAATATTAATAAATATTTAAAATTGTTTGAGGATAAATCGTAAAAAACTAACAATGTTTGTATTAAATTTCTAATTTAAAATTAATTAACATTTACTGACCTTTTTTGCAACCAAAAATCCCGAGGATTTTTTTTCGTTTTCAGACATCTCAGCATTAGGACTTGCTCTACCAACTCGTCATATCGTTCATCTGATAATAAGGTGTTATTTTTACCTAGATTTGCTTTTATTACATTTAATTCTGAATAAAACCATTCCATTATGAACTAATATTATAGTTAACAAGTGAAGTGAACACTTTACACGTATACGTAGTTAACCGTACTGAAAATAATTTGGACACAACTACACAAGATTAAATATTGAATAACGCAATCAAGAAATGAAACGTATTACAGGCTATAGAAATATTACAGTAATAATTGGAAAAATATAAAATTGGTTATCTTCGTCAATATCTGTGGGTATCCCTAATTTAAGCAATAACATAATATTATTACCTAATTTTGATTAGGCATTATACATAGCGACTAGGGGATATATTGTGTTTTATATAATTCGCCTGGTCATTTCAGTCATTTTATTAAATTTTATAAACTACCTAGGCATTATATGTAATGACTGAATTTCACATATTGCCGGTAACATATACATAATACATAGGATAGTCAGGGTAGGTAGGCACTTAACTAATCTGCAAATATTCCATCCTCCTTAATATTCAATATTATCATGATAATAAATAATCACATTATGTTCATATAAATGAGACAAATTAGTTTTTATATCTTAGGGATGAATAAGAATATATACATGTGTGTGTGTCTATGTTGGTGTGTTGTGTTATGTATGACTACTCTACCAGTAATGTATGTTTATATGTACATCATACTTATTATTGCATTTATAAAACGTTATATTATTATAGGAAAATTAAAAATACTAAGACTCGCATGAGCCTTTATTACTGTACAATTTTTTCTGAGAGTATATTAATATTTTTCCATTTTTTCAACAACTATCAGTTGATTCTGTTTGTGATTGATGTTTTAAGTCACTCTAATATTTGTTCTGAAAATTAATAAAATGGAACAAATGGTTTTTATACAAATAAAAATTACAATATAATGCATTTGAAGTATCTCTTAAAATAGATAAAATTCTCAAATCTTTTTAAACCAAAGTGTTTGGTATTACTTGAATTAAAATTTGTACCACTTCAAAAAATTAATAAAATAACTGAGATAGTGAGATCACAACAAATGGTTTGGGTTAAGGTGGATTAATTAAGTTGGATAATCCCACCTTGATAATAAACTATTTTTTCATATAGGTACAATCACGGCTATAGATATTAATATTAACTTTAAACGTGGGTACAATTAAATAATATTGAATATCGTAGATAATACGGCTACAGAATATAGATAGGTAATATGGTTACTGAACAAACAGTAAAAATATGATGGTATTGATTATTTGTTATTGACAATTCCTGTATTCTGGTAATTTTGGACTTGGAATATTATGAATAATCACACATAATTTCAAAGTCTTTTATGTTAAGCTTTTAATTGCGTTATAAGAATATATCTTTCAATCTTTTACTTATAACACTTTAAAAAAAAAATCCTAGAAGTTTTCAAAAGCTTTCAAATATAGATAAATAAAAAATTTAGTATTTTATTTTATAATTATGCCAGTAAGTGTTTAATTAAATATTAAACCGATCTATTTGATACTTTTGAGAACTACTAGGAATTTTAAATCTTTAAAAATTAAGCAATTACATAATAGAAATTTATTTTAGTCTATAATTTACAATTAATATATATAATACTTTTACAGGATACAAATGAAATTCCATGACTAGATGTAGTTTAAAAATATATCATGTCTAATAAAAAGTACTCTAACCAAAGATCCAGAACAAATTCATCAGTAAATGTAGAAAACTTCCATATTGATTTTAAGTCGCTCCAACATCAAAATGGGCAGTCATGTTCAAGTGGTTCTAATACAGAGGAAGAACAAAAAAAAAAAAAAAATTCAGATAGCAAAGTTAAAAGTGCATCAAAATTTAATTCAGAAAATCAACAAAAACAATATAAACATAAACAGACCTCAGGAAATAGGCATGAAAGATGGGGCCGAAATAAATTTGAGCAAAAACAAGACTTGGACAGTGACACTAATGAAAAAAAAACCAAAAAATATTTTTTTGGATTCAAGCTCCTTGAAGAATTATGTGATAAGGAACCTTCTGAAATTGTATTTGTGATATCTAATAAAACTAATGGATTCTTAGATCTGTTTAAACAGAATAAAGAACCAGATTGGATTTACTTGCTTATGAAAGTTTCAGCTAAAGTCTGTTCTTCAGAATTAATACAAAATAAAATTGTTTTACTTACAGAATTAACATGTAATCAATTTTTTAATCATATAAAAACCTATATACTGAGTACACCTACTGAAAAAAACCGAAATCGATGCAACAATATGAATACATTTTATGAAGATTGTTTAGTAGTTTTTCAAAATATAACTACCTTATTTCCGAAAACGGCTGCTGAAAAATTGAAGGAGATAGTAGTAAGTTGTAATATCGCTTTATCTGGTATTAAAAATTATTGTAATCATATTAAAATAAATGAAACTACTATTTTTGAAATGGATGAACTCCTACAAAAATTGAATGAAACCAAAGTAACAGAAGAATTAAAATTAAAAGAAAAATGTATGATTCAAAACATTGCTCAAATTATGCCTCCTCCTGAAAATTTTAGGGAACTTACAGTATATCCAACCTCAATTGATCTCGAATATGGAGAACGATTTTTACGACCTAATATCACAAAAGGAGCTTATCAGAATGTAGAACACTATTTGGACGTTCAATTTCGTCTTCTACGTGAAGACTTTATTGCTCCACTACGAGAAGGAATACAATTTTATAAAGAATCAATAAATTATCAACATCAACGTCGAAAAAAAATTAATAATATTCGTATTTATCGTGATGTTGAATTTCAAAAAAAAGGTGAATTTGTTCGCGATAAATATGGTTATCTGATAAACTTTGACAGGACAAACAAATTAAAAATCAACTGGGACATGGCTAAACGATTTATGTATGGTTCTTTATTGCTATTTTCTGCTAATAAATTTGAGACTTTTTTTTTGGGTATTGTTTTGGAGCGAAAAGTTGAACTTTTAAAAAAAGGTATCTTGATTGTGGAATTATTAGAAGATGCAAAACCTTTATTTGGTACTTCACTTACAATGGTTGAGAGTGAAGTATTTTTTGAGCCCTACAAATGCTCAATGGAAGTCCTTAAAAATATATATAGTCATAATTTCCCGATGGAAAAATATATAATATCGGCTTGTAATGTAATAGATTATCCATTTTACATTGATACATTACCTGAACCACAATATTTCATTGACAATTTACAAAAATTTAATATACTAAATGAATGTGAATGGCCTACCGAAGAACAGTTAAAACTTGATGTAATGCAATATAGAGCATTTAGAGCAGCACTAACTCAAGAATTTACGGTTATTCAAGGCCCGCCTGGTACTGGTAAAACTTTCATAGGGTTAAAAATTATGGAAACCATTATAAGAAATTTATATAACAATCCTTGTCTCTCTAAACCAATTTTAGTAGTATGTTATACTAATCATGCTTTGGACCAGTTCATGGAAGGTATATTAGGTTTCACAAGCAAAGTTATTAGAATCGGTGGACAGTCGAAGTCCAAAATATTAGAGGAATACAGTCTTCGGAATGTAACTCATATGTACAATAGGTCTACTACTACTAATAGAGGTCTAAGAAATGTTCAAGAACAAGTCAAAACAACTATGAATAGTATAAAATATTTGAAACGATGTAGTGAAGTTGTGTCATATAATGCTGGCATATTAGAGTTATCATTACTGAAAAATGGTATGCCTATTAAGTATCATGATTTTTTTAAAACTTCTTTAGATCTTCTCACTTGGTTATTTCAAGATCCTGAATATTTTAGTGTAGACCCAATTGGGTTTATATCTGAAATTAGCCATGGTTTGATTAATAAAGTTTTTCATTCCGAAAAATTATTGGAAATTAAAAAAGAAGTAAACGAGGATCAAGATCAAGATGATGATGATGATGATGATGATGATAGGCAATATAAACCAGATTTTCAAGATATAGATTATATTGATGAAGATGTTGTTATTTATAGTTTAGTTTTAGATAATGTAAAACATGCTTGTCAGGAACTACTTCACGAGGCTCTACGATTAAATAATCTATCAACCTCGGATATAAATTTCTACAATGCATATGAAGAAGCTAAATTCAACTTCGGTATAATGGAAAAGATACACGACTATTTTGAAAATATGCTGGGTTTGATTGATATGGATATTGAACTACCAAAATCAACTCAAGATTTATATGGATTAAATATGGGTCAAAGATGGTCTTTATATTTTCATTGGGTAAGAGAAACAAAAGAGATGTTTGATCCAAAAATAATTAAATATGAAGAAAAGTACACTCAAGTTTTTAAGCAATATTGTGAATTAAGAGAGTTGGAAAATATAGAGCTTTTAAATAAGATGCATGTAATAGCATTAACTACTACTGGTGCTGCTAAGCATAGAATAATGTTGGAAGGCCTAGAGTCGCCAATTGGTATGTATTCAGATTTTCAATTTCTTTATATAAATTTAATAATCCATTTTCATTTTTAGTTGTTGTTGAAGAAGCTGCTGAAGTTTTGGAGGCTCACATTGTTTCATCACTAACAAGACATTGTCAACAACTAATATTGATAGGTATTTATTATTCGCCTTATGAGAAAAATTATGGCAACAGCTAATTATTTTTCCTTTTATAGGTGACCATAAACAACTTCGTCCTAGTAATGCTGTTTACAAATTGGCCAAAGATTTTAATTTCGATATTTCATTGTTTGAACGTATGGTCAACAATGAAGTACCTTGTTACACATTGGGCGAACAGCATAGAATGCGCCCCGAAATAGCATCCATTATAACTCCATCAATCTACAATGAATTGAAAAATCATACTTCTGTTTACAATAGAGAACATATTCGTGGTGTTAACAAAGATATGTTTTTCCTAAACCATAATGTGTATGAAAATGAAGTATGTTATATGATTGTATTTCATCACAATATAATTTAACTAATACAATATTTTTGTCAATTTAGGTTGAGGAAATTTCAAGCAAAAGTAATGATCATGAAGCTAGATTTTTAATTATGTTTGCTCGGCATTTAATTTTACAAGGATATACAACTAATCAAGTGACAATATTAACAACTTACAGTGGTCAATTGTTTCTATTTCGTTCAGTAAGTTTTCATACTTTTTTAAATTTGTATAATAATTCTTTTTGGTTTGTTTAATATACAATACAAATGATATTACCATTTGCATTGGTACTTGTATTTTTATTATTTTGATGTTGATGTGCCACAATGTTTGTAAATGATGTAATGCAAATAAGAGAAAACCTACTACATGTAAATGAGTAGAAGAGTGAAGAGCATATTTTTAAAGTAAAAGTTTTAAAATTACTTGGGTTGGCAGTACTAAAGAATTGCGGTTTTGAGGAAAACATCATAAATAGCATTAAGTAAGAAGGAAGAATCTTAGTGCCACAACCAATTTTGAGGCTTAATTGAAAGCAATACATGTTTATAACAGAATAAAAGTTGTTAACACCAACCAACACATTCATAAAATAGAGGACTTTTAATGTTTGAATTTTAAAGCAAGTTATTTTAAAATATTAAATAGTTTGTGTATTTTAAAATACTCATAACTTGCTTTAAAATTAAATTTAAAAAAAAACCTTTGAGGTTCACTAGATAATATTCTTACCTTCAAATTTTATGAGAAGTTAATTCACCCTAACTTAAACTAACAAAGCTCAACCTGATCTGTCGAGTGTAAAATTTGTTAGACACGTTTGTAGGACGGAGACAGTGAGTAGAGGTGTAAAGTCTTTTTATTGAAGACTTCTTGATATGATAAGACTGAAGAAGTGGAACCCAAGACCTATAAAATGTTATTACTTTTTATTTTTCAATATGAAAAGATGATTCAGATGTGGTAAGCTTTATTGTACCGTAGAGGGAAAAAGAGGAAGAGAAATACCGAATAAGAGTTAAAATGGAGAGTGATAAGAATGTAGCCGATACGTGTGCCAGAGGAAGAAGATCTAGCCTCGTAGATGTGATGATCACTTATAGTTGGAAGTTTAAGATGAGGTATGAGAAGAAGATTATTATTAAATTTAAATTTATTTAAAATAATTAAATATTTAAGTATAATTAATTAATATACTAATATATTTTAAGTTACGGAAAAAACACTCCATATTGGATGGCTTAAAAATAAAGGTTGTCGATAACTATCAGGGCGAAGAAAGTGATATTATACTACTATCGCTAGTTAGAAGCAATGAAAAGGGAAATGTAGGATTTTTGAAAACTGAAAACAGAATATGTGTTGCATTGTCAAGAGCTAAATATGGACTTTACATAATGGGTAATATGGACAATTTGTACAATTCTGGTAATTTGTGGAAACAAATAAAAGAAACATTAGTAAATCAGTGTTCGTATGGTAAATATATTTTTATTTAGTTATCGGTAGATTACATTTTTATTGTTCTATATAATGTTTCAAGGTGATGAATTGACTTTAGAATGTGCCATACATTCTGGTATTACGACAAAGGTTTCAAAGAGTGAAGATTTCAATATAATTATGGAAGGTGGTTGTACTATGTTATGTAAATCATTGTTGTCATGCGGTCATTATTGTTCAAGTGTATGTCATTCCTATGACCTCGAACATTTGGAATTTAAATGCAGAAATCCTTGTAACAAGTAAAATATTTGAAAGTTTTATTTATCATGTTAAAAAATTTAATTTTTACAATATATTTGTGTACTATAGATTCTGTGATTATAATCACCCATGTATGAAACAATGTTATATGGATTGTGGAAAGTGCACCGTAATTACGACGAAAGAATTACCATGTGGTCACCAATCATCATTACCATGCTATGTTGATATTCATATTTTTCAGTGTGAAGAAATGGTTGGAGTTTCATAATATTGCACTTCTAACATTCCTATGACGGGTTGCATGAAAAACTTATTGATTTAACGTTCCAATAAAATTTAAAGGGCCAATCATGGGCCTCTCAATCATGTTTAAAGGACCATTAGCTCACTATTGATTTGTTAAATGTTTAGTGATTGTTCATGCAACCCGGAACTAAGGTATTATTTTTATTATAGATAGTTCTTCAAATTCAAATTTAGGTGGAATCAATCCTAGAAGAATGTGGTCATAAAGTTATGAGAAAATGTTATGACAAAAATCCAAAATGTTCAATTAAATGTTACACTCGGTTAGATTGTGGTCATGCTTGTGAGCGCAATTGTCACAAAAATGATGATCCAGATCATGAGAAGGTAGTGTTAGTTTTGTAAATATATTTCATATTGTAAATTGTAATATCTAGTAATCATTAAATTATTTTAAAAATTTCATCCGCAGTATAAATGTTTAAAACCTTGTGAAAATATTAATAAAAAATGCACTTTGAATCACAAATGTCAAAAGATCTGTTATGAAGATTGTTCATCATGTACTGTGAAAATTAAAAGAACTCTGCCTTGTGGACATATAAAAAATGATGTTCCTTGCGGATTAAATTCTAATGAAATTAGATGTAATCTTCCTTGTATTCGTCCTTCAATATGTGGTCACAAGTGTCTAGCTAAATGTTATGAACCATGTAAACCTTGTGAAAGTCTAGTAAGTTAACTATTGTCTTTGGCAAATCTGTTTTGTTTTTTCTATATTCTTTTCAGGTAAAAAAAGTGATACCAGACTGTGGACACTCAATTACAATTAAATGTAAAACAATACCACAACGTAAACATTGCACTAATAAATGTAATCGAATTTTAATTTGTGGACATTTATGTAAGAATGAATGTGCAAAAGAATGTATCCCTGAAGAATGTGAGGAAATAGTGATGCAAAAATCTAGTAAACTTGCTTGTGGTCATAATAAAGTTTTTGTCTTCTGTTGTGACAAAGATAAAGGTAATATATTTTTTTATTTATACTATTGAAACATTTTATTATTAATTAAAAATGTTACATAATAGTGCTATTTATTATGTGTATTTTTTTAATTAAAAAATATGGCTGTTTGACTTTTGTAGATTACAATATTATTATGTTCAAACTTACCCTTAAAATATACTATTTTAAAATAAAAGAATCAAAACAATTCAAATATGTGTGTTAAATATATTAATATTATACTATGATTTTAAGGCACATACTTAACTTAATAAAATTTAGGTTATTTCAACCTTTAAAATTATACTGTTAATAGACATGCACTTTATTTAGTCATCAATTTTGAATATTTAAAATTATCATCAGTTATCTTCAAGTATGTATGTAACTGCACAATTCACAGTAGTAATTTATCATTTTTTTAAAAAAAATGTTATGAACAACTCTATGTATAGTAATGAATCAGGGGTATCCTTAATATTTTTGTAGATTGACTTTATTTATTTATCCCTAGATAGAAAACAGGAAATTAAAAATAATGATATTAAATATACATTTTAACTTTTAAAATTTAACTAATTTTTATTTTTTGAGTAACTTTTTGAGTAAAGCTTATAATATATATGATATACTGTTTATACATATTTGTATAGATAAACTTATTTTGATTACTTATTGTGGTATTTATTAGAATATCTTTGAAGTTTAAAACAAAAACTATGATCTTATTGATTTAATGGATAATGTTTGATTGTTACATTTGAACATTTTATTTGGAATACTTTTGTTTTTCAAATAGAAAATTGAATTAATAAACAAAAATAATATATTCTAGAGTTTAGAATGGACAGCCAATATCTCCTTGATAAATGCCGTGAACCGTGTCTACAAAAACTAAATTGCGACGATATTTGTTCAGGCACATGTGGAGAATGTAAACAAGGTCGCTTACACGTACCTTGTAGTGAGGTTTGCAATAAAATAAACCCGTGTAATCATACGTATGTGTTTATTTTTGTCAAAAATCTGGATTATTTAATAATCTTATATTTAATTATTTTTGCAGATGTAAATTCCCCTGTAAGGAACGGTGTCCACCTTGCAATAAGAAATGCATTTATTCTTGTATTCATTCTAAATGTCCTCGTAAATGTGGTGATGAATGTGCACCGTGCATGGTAATAATCAACAATCAATAAAAAGACCTAAATTACACATTTATTTTTAATATAATACAGTGAGTTCCCCTTCATGTGATCACTGGTTTATAAAATCAACCGTTTATTAGAATCAAAAATGAAAATTCCAAACCAAATTGTATGTTACTAATGTTAAATTGACCTTTTATTAGAATCACCAAGTACCGGATAATTGAATCACTTTTATGAACAATCTTAACGTTTTTATGATATTTCAAACTGATTAATTTATAAAACCCATTTTTTTGAACTTATTAGTATGACAGTATATCGTTGTACATTATTATGTTATTCAATTATCTTTGTGCGTCTTGTACTTGTGTCATTTATTATGTATGTTACATTAAATAGGTAATTATAATTAAATATGTAATTGTACAAAAAGATTGAATCATGAAAAAAATGTTGTAAATGTTTTATAGAATCAAAATGACCTGCACCAAAGTGATCACATTAAGCGGAACCAACTGTATTATTATATTTGTTGATTTTTTTAACAGGAAAAATGTGAGTGGGAGTGTCCTCATTTGAAATGCACTAAAAAATGTAATGAAATATGTGATCGAAAACCTTGTTATGAGCCTTGTACATTAAAGTTGAAATGTGGGCATGAATGTATAGGTTTTTGTGGTGAACCATGTCCTCCTTTATGTCGCATTTGTCAAGAAGATGAAGTTACTACAATAGTGTTTGGTGATGAAGATGAACCAAATGCAAGGTAAATTAAATTTGATAGAAATACTTAAAAAACGTATTTTGTAATTTTCTTTTTTTTCATACTTATCTATAGAAAATTTATTTTAATATTGTCAGTAAATATGATAGTTGTATTGAACTATTCATTTGTATATTTTTATAGGAACTTTAGATATTACTTTGTCATAACAGACCAAGGTTAGGTATATCATTTGACATTTTCTTTTTTTTCTGCACAAGATTTGCTTTTGAAAAGGAAACCAAATATTAACTTTTTATCTGCTTTATACATTTCTGTAATTTTAATTTGGTATCAATAAATATTATTATTATTATTACATTAAAAATATATTACTTACATTAGCTGTGATTTGTATGTAAATTATTTAATGTTCATGTGATTTTTTTTGTTTAAGGTTTGTTTACTTAGAAGATTGTAAGCACACCATTGAATCAAATGCTTTATCTAATTGGATGAACGTAAATAATGAAGAAATATGTTTGAAAGAGTGTCCATTATGTAAGACACCAATTTTAAGAACCCAACGTTTTATGAACCAAGTAAAAGTTATAATAGAGGATATTTCAATAATAAAATCTAAAAAGTATGGAGAACTTAATGCTATTAAAAGTGGCAAGAAAAAAATAATTCAGTCATTGAACAACTTGAATACTAATTTTGTTTCAAATTATATTGGCAATCAAAATTGTGAATATGATAGTAACAAACATCTATGGGATACATTTTGCAAGCCTATAATAGCTTCATTGAAGTATGTTGGAAAGAAACGATCAAATTTCTATTTACCTTCAAACGATATAGAATCTTTAAATTTTGTCGTTGAGTTGTTTAAAACTACTTCAAAGCTTAAAAAAAGAATTGAAAGCATCAATGATGTTGAAAAGAAACAAACTATCACTGACCACTTCAATTATTTACTTAAAGTTGCTTTTACCTATCCTAGACACTTATCTAACCAGCAAAAATATGATATAAATATGGAGGTTGCAAGAGGTGTTAGGATAATAAGATTATTTGAGATTATGTGCTCTGCAAAGTTTAAGATGTCATACGGTGGTGAAATTAAAAATTCTTATGCGACTGATTTAAATGATTTTGTAAAACATATGGAAGGTCTGTTGATGTCTTGTAAAATATATACTGTTGATAGAGACAAAGATGTAGAAATTATATTACAGTTAATCGAAGAAAAATTTGATGGTCTGGCAATCATCACCGACGAAGAAAGAAAGATGTTACACAATGCTATGTCCACCAGTTTCAGAGATGGTTATAGAGGTCAGGGTCATTGGTGTAAATGTCCAAATGGTCATATTTATATTGTTACGGAATGTGGAGGACCAACGGAGCAAGCTACTTGTCCTGAATGTAAAGTACCGATAGGCGGATTTAACCACCGACATGCTGCGGGCGTAACAGTAGCTTCAGAAATGGATGGTGCTAGTCAACTCTTGTGGAGTTAATACTCCCGATCTATATGCTCGCCCAACTCATGTTTCAAAGTAGATAATTATTTTATTCAAAAACATGATTTTAACAGTTCATATTTTGCAAACTTAAAAATATTGTATAATTACATTTTGTGTACTATGTTATTTCGTTCTTATGCAAATTTAATTTCGGCATTAGAAATCTAATAATGTAATGCATATTACTGACTGCTTCACTTTTAATATAATTTATTTAGATATCTAATAATCGTTCTTATTTTCACACCGTAAACATTAGAAGATCACTATGATAATTACCTAGTGCGATCTTATCTGTTAATTTATATTGAATGGATTTGAATTTTATTTTTCTTAAGTTATAATAATAATATTAATAGGAAAATAATTAACTACATACACACATTAATTAACATATAATTTACAAAATAGTCAACTATTTTTAATAAAATATATTATAGTTCTAACAAAGTTGTGGATTTATTACATTTTCTATAACAATTTTCTATACTAAGTAACTAGTAGAAGATATTGTACGTTATTTGTATTTTTTCGGAGAAATATTTGTCTTTAAGTTAGACAGTCGTCTCATTTATAACATTTCACATGGACTTCAAACTATGTTATCTGATACCTAGTGTTAAGCTTTACATTTAAAAAATGTTTCAAGTGAATAGCATAAGTATAAAAAATTCAAATTCAATCAACATTTTTATGATTTTAATTTATTAAATAAACACTTTTTTATGCATGTAATATACTAATGTATAATATGCTGTACCTAATATTAATATAAATTTAAAAATTAAATTACAAACCATTTTAAATGAATTTTATACTATAATTTTTGGCATTTTTTTTTTTTTTATAATGCATTTTTTAAGGTTCTTTGGTGCATTAAATATCTAAAAGACTTTGATTATTGTACTTATGACATGATTTAAGCAATCATAAGAAATAATTGAAGTACTGTTCTACTAATGTAGGTGCTCCAAGTAATGTAAATTAATAGTTATGACTTTACGAGTAAAGACCGGATATTGCAACTTTTTTGCAGTTAAGATAAACCAAATCTGATCATATGTATAGTCAATATACCTACTAAATGTATTATACATATTTAATTTTAAAATGGAATTTTCCACGTTTTTGCAATTTGTTACAATTGTGTGTTTTTAATATTTAACTCAGCGAAATTGATTGTATCTATGAAAACGCTTTTATGACATACCTAGTTTTCGTTATCAATAGATAATTTGTGGTTGTACCATAAAGCCATTATTAAGAGCTATTATCAATATATATTCATCATTTTGTTTTCGTCGGTATTACCTATCAGATGTGGATAATCTTAGTTCACTATAGAATGTTCTCTATAAAAGCCGGTCGGCATAGCCACCGCCCACCAGTGCGTCTGTCGCTGTATTATCTATTTGTATTATTGCACGGTGTACGTGTTCACCGTTGGTTTTTGAAAAGCATGCCTAAAATGAAATCAACTTTAAAAAAGTAAAATTTCATATTGGATTGTTCCTCATAATGACAACAGGGAAGTTTTTTCATCAGATGGGAAGGTTATATATTGCCTTGTTTGTGACAAATCTGCTTAAATATGCACCAATAACTGGTGTATACGAATTTAGTTTTTCTTTGTACAAACCATGAAGAATAAAATATTATTTAGTTTAATATTTTATTAACTATCTGTTATGCCTGGACCTGATATTCCATTGTTTAAACGATTTAAAAATAACTGGGTGAATTTAGCTTTACGTAATTTTCATACACGGACATCGCAACCAGAAATATTTGAAGAATTAAAATATGTAGTAGAAGATGTTTTATTATTTTGTACAACAACAATCGAAGATAAATATCCAAGAGATGACTATAAAGAATTTATAGAAATTGTTATGATATTTTTGGGAAAAACACCTCCAGGAATTATACATTTTTGACCATCTGGTGCTTACCGTTTAGTTCGATGAATGGCAAAAGGGATAATATTGTTTTAAAATGTTGTTATTTTATCAGCAGTTTAAACTCTTGATAATTGAAAAAAGATATTTACAAGACATATTTTGTTGTTTCATTGTAAAATGTTATTTAGAGGCATGGATATGTGCTCGGCGTGCTCCCGATCCAATAACAGCTCCACTCAATGATTTAATTTTTTTTTTAATTAGTTGATTATACAAAAAATAATCAAAAAATAGGAGAAGTAGCAATAAAAAAATGTATCAACCATTTGTGGTACTTAAATGATGAATGTGCAGTATTTTCTTTATTTGATGATCGCATTGATTATACTCTTAATACTAAATCTAAAATGGCATCACGGATATTGGAAACAAATGACGTTTTGTAATAAAACGTCCATGAACATTTAATCAAAAGAACATTTTAAAGTTAAACTTTATGGGCATATTGCTATCATAAGATATTAAAATAAATATTTTATTATAATATTTTTCATAAATTTCACCGAATATTTATATAAGCATTTCCTATACACCATACAATTTTTAAAATATTCCGACTCATATTGAACTATTTATAGGCTTATGAAATTTTCGATTAATAATAAATTTTTTTTAATTAATGTCGATAAAAATGTATTTGTTGGTTAAAAAATCTTGAAAATTTAATACGAAGTTCTTAACATATTGTTATAATAGCAGTTGAAAAATATAAGAAATACATAGTCACAATTTTTTTAATAAGCATTCAAAGTTCGAACTTTGACAAAATACGTAAAAATCACGAAAATTTGCAAATTATTGTAAGCTCAAAATTCATAAAAAAATTTCTTTTCAAATCTAAGAATTGAAAATTTAATACTCATTAGTCTTTAGTTATTATATAGGTAATAAGTTATTACCAAATACCAATATCATCTAAACTAAATCATCTCTTAATTTGTTTAAAATTAATATTTACATTTAATTCACATTTAAAATTAAACAATAAAAACATGTGTATTACATGCAAGGACTACATTGTTTTTCAAATTGTCAAAAATAAATGATCAGCAATTACATTAAATATTTATAATAGCTGAAGCTTCTTTTGAAGTTACATAATATTATTGGGGTATACCCTAAGTCCTTATCTTAGTTATTACTTATTAGTAAAGATAGGACTAGAGAATGCTATAATATACATTTATTAGATTTAATTTAAGTTTTAGTTTTTGATATTGAAGTATCTACTTATTGTTTTTGAATAATTTAAAAGCAAAAATGGTCAGGAGATATTGATTTTGATTCATAACAATATTTTTAAAGTTCAAAGAACGGTTTAGTTGTGATGTTCTCTGTGTTAAACGTTCGAAGAACGTATTAGTTTATTACGTTCTTCGTGTAACTTTTTAATGAACTTAATAGTTTATAATGTTCTTTGCGTAATTGTTCAAAGAACTTAATAGGTTATAACGTTCTACGTGTAATTGTTCAAAGAACATTTTATGTTATAACGTTTTTTCTTGAAAAAATTCAACAAACTTGATAACTTATAATGTTTTTGCATATAGAAGACCCATAAGGTTAATGAAATAACTGGTTTCGTTCCGTTGTATTTTTGTTTATGAACAACAATAACGTTCTTTAACGGTTTTTTGCGTTCCGTTCGGGAACCCTGAACAGAAACAATACTTGTTGCAGGTAATTTTTAGTATTTTTTGTTCATGGAATAATTAGGAATTTATTAAAATGCATTATTTATGATTTTAGATTGTTCAATATTATAGAAAGCAATACCCGTGATTCAGTCGTTAAGTTTTAAAACAAACTTATAATAAAATAGGATAATTAAAATACAATTTTATAATTACTTCTATATAATTTGCCTAAATAAATCTAGCTATTAAAAATTACATTTTTTTCAGGAAATTAAATTTTATTCGTTTTTTAAAGAAGTGTATTTGTATTTTGAATATTTTATCAAATACACTTGAATAAATGTAAAAAATCTATTTTGCAAAATAAATCAAATATTTCGTACTTTATTATTTTTCTTGAAAAATAACAGACTTACGACAAATTTTGTAAATGTATTTTTTATGAGGAATACTAAAATATATAATTAACTTTCTATACATTTTTTCGCTAAGTACTATAGTTTTTGAGTTAAATTAAAAAAACTACAAAACTACCCTCTATGACAAATTTTCAATTCTCTTGAGACACGGGAAGGGGGTGAGTTATCATAACCAAATTTACCTCAAATAACTTACTCATTGTAATGAACACAATGGAGGGTACCTGACTAAAGAATATTAAAAAAATAATTCCTTCTTCTATAACTAAGAACCACCCATTACGTATTAACATATTTTAAGTTATAGGAGATTTAACTTTAATGAACATAATTTGAAAATGTGTCTAAGTATAAATTTTAATTCAAAAAAAGTAACATTTATGTAATTTTTTTTGTATAACTTGCATTTTTTAATATATTTTTTTGGTGCAGTTATAGAATTTTAATATGGAACTTTTGTGTGTTTTCAATGCAATTAAATCCGATCTTTAGTTATGACTATATTAGAACCTTAGGTATGTGTTGTCGAAGTTGTGGTTTTGATGTAATACATAGTCAGATACTCAGATGTTAGAAAAGGTTCTTGAGGGTATGTTATTGTTGTGGCGAGAGTGATTTTACAATAGATACCGCCATCGAAGACCGAAGTTAATAAAATAATATGTACCTACATATATATGATTATGTTTTTTTATAAACTGCATTAACATACCCCTTGCAGTCTTGCACTAATTTTGACTTCTTTTTAAATTTCTTCATTCCCAGAAAAAAATGAAAGAAAAAGTGTTATCATAATTTTGTTCTTCGTTATGGATTTAGAGTAACATTTCGTAGATTGTTTATTAGAACAAATTATTATCGGCTGATATAATATGTTGATCAAGATAATTAAGATATAGGTATCTAGGTCATTATTTTTAGTATGAAATATTTATAGTTTATTTATAATTTTGAGTCCAAAAATACTGTTCTTCACAGATACCTACTTTGTTTTAGTGTATTTATTTTCGACTAAAATATTTTTGATCCTTCGCATATTATAATATAGCCACTGTGCCGAATATTTAGTGATTATGCTTTGTATGATATGCAAATTACTAATACTTACTTTAAAAGTCTGCACTAATTAGAGTACAGTTATAAAAAAGTGTTCGTTTCAATTTAGACTAGCGGCAGTTATTTATGACTTTCTAGAGAAAGGTGAATTTT